ATGCCAGGAGCCTCTAGTAGCGTCCTTGCTCCTAGTAGCGATGCCAGCAGCCCCTAGTAGTGTCCTTGCTCCTGGTAGCGATGCCAGGAGCCCCTAGTAGCTGCTAGGATAAAAAAGGTCGAAGGAAAAGACCCAAACATCGAGTTTGCAGGCACTCCAGGCCAATGCAGCCGTGCAGCACTATCTGCCTGTTAAGCGCTGGCGGCGACGCCTCATTGCTTTCACGCGGACAAAAGATATCGAAGATCATGGAGGGCACGGAAATCACACCATTTATCATTCATGTCTTGTTCTCTGCATGGTCTCAGGCTCCAGGCATGCAAGGTCTCTTTTGCCAACGCTGCTACTTACAGCCCTCGGTGTGCCCTTCCTCATCCTCCCAATAGGTTACCCACCCACTAGTCCACCCACTCCCTCGCTCTCTTGGCGCAAAGGTTTGCACTTGGTGGGGAACGAAGCCATGGTGGATGACTTGGGCTTCATCGTCCCTTTTAAAGGCGGTGCCAGAGTCTTGTTTGGGTCTTTTTCACTAGATGACATGCTAATACTCTATTCCACTTGCCATCACCAGAGCAGCATATGAAGATACATTGATACATCACAGGCTATCCCATGGCGCTTGATTTCGGACACCCTGTCCCGACGACCAGTTTCGCCACTTGCCTCCCACCACACCAGGCGGCAAAGTTCCGCCGGAGACGCTCGGTGATACCACCTCCTCATCTGTGCATCGATACCTCGATTTGTCCGGCGTCCTGCCTCTCGGCCGGGAAGTACTGGGAGCTGCTCTCCATCCATGTCCTACTGCAGATTTTCATGCCATGTGACACCTTGAGCTTCTGTGCACCTGAGGCATTCAGTGCCCCAGAAGCTGCAGCTTTCTCATCCGTCAGAGATTTCGTCCTCGGCAGCTGAGGTGAAATGCTGAAACCGATGACATGCCATGACATGCCATTCTTTTTCCCACATGGAATGCTTTGCTGCAGCTTTAGACTCTGCCAGGCTCGCCGGCCGGCCACGGGCATGAGGCCGACGTTTTTTGAATCTTTGGACATGTTTGCGTGTGTTGGAAGCTAAATTGCTTTTATGTAGACTCCTTGATTAACGACCCCACCATTTGGATTGGAGAACCTCTTGTTTTTTTTTTTTTTCAAATCTAAGAGTCTACATTGCTCTTTCTTTTGGGCCGGGCCTGGTTCCGAACATGCCCGACCACATGATTTGCACTTGGCCTCGGTGTCGCCGTCAGGCTGAATCCCAGTTTGCTGATTGGAGACGAACATCCATCTGGTCCGGCACTCGAAGAGCTAAATGTTGGGTGTAGTTTCCACCAACTCCAAATGCTGGACGACGCGCTGTATGACGCCCTGACTATGCGATTCAACTATGTCCAAAGGTTTTCATGAGTATTGAAATGTGCTCCGAATCTTCAATGAAAGACATTTCGCGGGTTAAGATCAAGTAAGCCTTTGTTCAAGATCTCATCGAAGATCAAGCAACTGATGCAAATATATTCGCCGCACAGGGATGTAGACTTCTTGACTAAAAGCACTTCCATAGGAAGAGGACGGAAGGGGTCTTCCACTCCAAATGTGGGAGGGTTCTTCATCAAGAATCAGCATTACTCGATTAGATCGGGCGGTTTTCATGCCACCGCTCACTTCGGAAGTGGATCAGGTGCCCTGGCCTCGTGCATTTCGGGCTCCTCCATGCCTTCGGCTTCCAAGGAGAAGCTCCGATGTTCAGAGTCGCAGAGTTTGTTTTTTTTATTTCACGGCACCCAGTGGGGCCTTTGTTGTTTCGGCGCACCTCTTTTTAAAGACGACTGTGCCAGACTGGTATAGCTCAAAACGGGACAAAGCACAGAGAACATCCCAAGAAGATCCCGTGTCCTTTGTCACACCTTTTTGCGGGCGTAACGAGGGGGGGCCGCCGCTGTGGGGGTGACACGGGAGACGGACGTGGCAGGATATGCTGGAGGTTGAGGACAGCTGGGCAATGGCCTCGGGACAGATGTTTAGGTAATGCGAGCAGAGGTCTTTATACACATGCCAGAAGAAAAGGTTCGTTTAAAAAACAGTGCAAGGAATATTAGGAATTAACAAAAGGTTAACTTAAATGGTGGTTTTCAGGTCAAGAAAGGTTAATTAACAACAAGAGTCAGGAAAGAGGTTTTCAGGTCAACCAAGAATCAGAACGAGAGGTCAACGTTCTAGACTTTGTCTCAGGCCATGGAGAACTGCCGTGTCAAGGCGATTGGACGCTCCTTGGAAGAGGCCTGGCCTGAGGGTCCATTTGGTCGACCAAGCTACACAAACACATGTTTGTTGTGTTTGTGAAACATTTTCAACTCTGTGGTGCAGGTGCGCGACACAAATCAATGGATCATACTATATAAAATACGGATATTTACATACTGTAGCAACTCCGTAACATTTCACAAGTGAAGGATGCACATGGTCGAAACATACCAAAAAGCGTGCATGTCTCAGTTCTTGGGTTCCGTGATTTCCAGTGGCGGTCCGAGGAAGCAGAAGCTCAGCAGTTTAGTGCAAAGCGTGAAGCTGAGAGACTTGAACCGTGTGACCTGGCCATCACTTCGGGTAGTGAAGTGCGCATTGAACCACATATAGGCAAGTAGTATGTTGACCCAAAAAGACAGCTACAGGTGCAAACCTGAAAGAACACAAACCTCTTGGCAGGTGCTGCTGGATTTGTGAGAATTGGTGTGAGTATCGACTGACCTTTGCTCAGAAGACCGGCAAGATCGAGGCTAGGGCACCGGAAGGAACAGCCTCTCAAAGGATCTATATAATAGGTCTTTGTGGGAAAGAAGACTGCTTTATGGTCTTTGCTTGTCTTTGCTTGTCGGAAAGATGACCGCTATAGGCCGGCTTGTCTTTTGGGATAGTTGACAGGTCAAAACGCCTTTTTTGGAGGGGCAGCTTTGGCAGAGAGGGGGGTTTCGCAAGGCCAATAGCGTCCACGCGCTCACATCCCTGGATGGCTTCTCTCAGCCAATACAGCTCAAGCAGCCGTTGGTCTGCACATCAGACATCGGGATCATTCGGGTTCGCAGCCACACGTTCGCGCTCGCCCGGTTTTTCCCGGATGGCGACTCGGAAAGGGGAATGGATCCTTTTGATATACAGTGGTTAAATCATCCGAATGGATCGTCAGGTATCTACAGATATCTACAGTGGAGGTTCATCCCCTGGCTTTCTATGAGTACCCCGCTGAAGACTCACATGAACCCTGAAAAACCACTCGTTTCAGAGGAAAAGATGGAAATAACGTCCTTTATATAGAGTGCCAATACCACAGGGTCCATCTTCGTTGTGCGGTATGGACACATGACAAAACATGAACAGGTGGAGTGCCGCACGGGTCTCCGACTTCTCGTCGTGTTCGCACCGGTCGACGGCGTCTGAAGCCGCCCCCGTGGAAGCGCCCAGCGGCCGAGGCTTGGCAATCAGTGGGCGGCCTCCAAGATGCTTCCACCCAGCTTGGCGGCGGTGGAGGTCAGACTGGAGACCCATGGAGACCCCGCCATGGGTTTGGGGTGGTTGTATGTACCACACGCAGAAAGCGCGGTGGGGCCACTGCAATCTTGAAGCGTGAAAGAAGCGAGATCTTTGTTGAAAGAATTGGAAAGACACGTTGTTCTTTTACTTAAAGGTGCCTTGAGCTCATGAGACTGCAAGGTGATTTTCATCGTGGATGGGCAGCCGAGAATCTCCACGTCACATCCTGTTCGCAACTTGCTGGTTGGGGTGGCCCAGGAGTCACCGAACTCCGCCTGTCTTGCGAGAAAGGGCGGGGCGACTTCTCGGCGGTGCTCCGAGGCCAAGAAGTCGCTCATGCTCGATCCCGACATCTTCGGTTCGAGTGAGGCGGACCAAACGGACGGGAGGTGAAAAGACCGCAGGTGAAAAGCCAAACATGGAAGTGGACAAGGCACTTCCGCTTGTGGAAAAGGATCCTTCCAGGGGCCACGACGTCCACTTCCAGTCAAGCTTCCATGAGGTGCCACCATCCGAACTCAGCTGAAAAGACAGGAGAAGGTCTCATGTTTTTCACACCCATCCTACCTCTCCGGAGTACTTGTGTGGTTTCCCGCTGTGAGATCTGCCACAGTTCTGAAATGATTTTGGGGAATGTTTACTCCGCTGCAGCACAGCCAGGATGGTTCAGGCCGGATGGACGCTTGATGACGCTCTCCCGGTGCTGTAAAATTCGATGTTTCAATTGCTCTTTGTGACTCTTTGTGCAAAACATGCAAATTGCTTTGACAAATTCAGCAATACAGCGCAACACATTCTATGAAGTGTTCACAGGTTGCGTCAAACTCTTTCCGACCTTGATTTCATAATTCAAATGCTGCAAGCATTTACGTTTTGTAGTTCCACAGACGCCTCGCATTGTAAAGATTGTTATGCTGCATTGGCTTTGCTGTTTTAGCAGAGTCTGTCCAGGGCCACAAGTGGTGGAGGCGGAATCTGTGAATACGGTGCACGCGGGCTAGGGCTCCCAGCAGTTGCTTCATATAAATTTGATGTGAACACCCATCCAACACCCATCCCACTTGTGCAACTCGGAAGTAATGAGGGAATGGATCCCAAGATATCTACCGTGGGCGGTGGCCATCTTTCGCTTCACGAGGGAATGCACCCGTCGGTGGAATGGTCTGGTCCGGTCGTTTTGTCTCCTCAGGCTACTCTGCATTTCAGAGACATCGCCTCGGGGAGCCGAGAGACATGTTTTTTGAAGACGAAGACTTAAAGTATGGCAAAGTAATATATAAACCATATGATTCATATGATTCTATAGAAGACAGACACGCAAGAAATGCGCCTCTCTCAAGAAATGTTGGAGGAGCCCACAGCATTGTGCATTTTGGAGAGTGCTAATGATCGGAGTCAGGCTTGGTGGGGGGCAGGTCAGAAAGCAACATTGGCCTTCAGCCACAAGAATCACACTTGTGAGAATCATGCAGCAGATGGATTTGAAACAGTTTTGTCAATTGCAGTTCAACGATTGCAGAGAGTGGCCACCAGTGGGCAGTGGGCGGCCGCCAGTGGGCCCTTGACGCACTGCACTGGTCAGGTCGAAGTCCTTCCTCGCCAGCTTCCGAGCAAACTCGTGGTGGCCAAGACGGTCGAGGCGGGAACGACGAGGCCAAATTGGCTCCCGGGCGACTCAGAACCGTTTTAACCCCAAACATGCCATGTTGTGTCAGAGACTTTGACTTGTTGATATGAAATACAACAAAAATATGATTAAACATGATTAAATATAATATGGTACATATTAGATACCCCTGAATTCCTTTTTGCGTGTGACTCGCTTTGTTTTGGAACATCCTTCTTCAGGTCAAGAAGAAGGAAGTTTGGACCTTCGAAACCTCCACCTTCAGGAGCCTGACCTTACTGACCGTACGACGAACGGTCCGCGTTCCAACGGTCTGGAGAATCAGACGCAAGAGCGACATGTTCATCCACCATGATTCTTCCTTTGTTCCTCCTGATTTTTCGAGGCACTACCTCAGGGATCAAAAAGCCAAGCCGGATGAGTGCTTCGACCGCGACTGGGGCTTGGGCAAGGCGAGCGAATGCTTTCAAGCAGAAGAAGTATATGAAGAATATGAAGATTATGAAGCTGCTCATTTGTCACTGAAAGATAATTGATACTTGAAGATCTGCTTGTGACTGATAGCATTTTGGTCACCACAGGCATCCCAGCTCATCAAGAATGAGACTGTGCGACGGGCCCCATGGCAGCACGAGTTGATGATAAAGTAACAACTTTGACTTGATGCTTGAGACTTGAGATACGTGAAAAGATCTACTCATTCGATTGGCCTGACATCATTGTCTTTCGATCAACGGCAGGAGCTGGCAGCGATGCTGCGGTGTGGGGCTCAGTGATGCGGCTTCTGCTTCACCGTCTTGGCATTAAAAGCATAGACCGTGCACCGCAAGGAAGGACTACATGCCTTGGATCTTGGCGTTTTGGTCGCTTGGTCACAATCTGTCGTAATGAACCAAGAGACTTTGTTGTTGTGCTTGCTCTCTCGTGGACCGTCCTCTTCTAGATATAGAAAAAAACATTTGATGTACGCCCGGACAGCAAACAGTCTTATCCCCAGGTTCTCAGCCATGGTGGATTTCCAATCGCATCGCTATGCAGTGGGCCTGTGGGCGTCTCAGAGACGACTTCGTTGACATTTTGCAGACCGGTGACCCTCCTGTTCATGCAGATCGGCGTGTTCTGAGCTTTGCAGACCCTCCGTCCTAGTGGCGTCGGCATCGTCCCAGTTTGCATGCCCAAACTTACCCAATTCATTCTAACCCAGAAACGATCCAGATACGCCTGGAAAAAACACACGGCGAGAACATTGCCCCTCGTCTTCAGGTCTTGCAACTCCTGGCGAGAACTGCTCTTGCGATCCGAAGGTGTCGATGTCGACGCTTTTTGATGTCAAAAGACATCGAACGCAAATCGACTTGAATAGAAAACATATGAAAGCATGAGCTTTGTGATGCTTTCTGTGACTACTTGTATGATCTTGTATGACTCAATGATGATTTGCTGCCCTTCCAAGTCGGTTTTCCGAGCGTTTCCCTTTTTCGATGCATTTTGCAATGACCTGAGTCGCTGTCCAAGTGGGTACTTAGCTAGCGATGTTTACTTCTCGGCCATGTGGGCCGAGACGAACTCCTGTTTTCTTCGAGGTACAAGTGCAGTGTTCCTACTTGATGACGTTGCATGCAAAAGCCAGCTTCCAAGAAGATGGAGATCCATGCTAGCCAGAATGAGGGTGTGCAAAAGACCCCTGACAGAGCATGATTGAGTTGAGACCTGTTGAAACTGTAAGAAGATCTCCATTCCCAACAACTGCAACACTTGTCATAATTTGTCACATTCGTTTGTTGCATTTGTGCAAGTTCCAGAAGTTCAGCCGTTCGTCGGCTTCAAGGCAGTGACCTTGACTGCATTTATGTTGCAGCCAACACGGTCGTCAAGTGCTGAGACTGTTCTGACAGACAACCTGCCAAAGGGGCCAACATGCATGCTTGGTCTCCGCAACATCCGCTGGGTTAAGGACAGGGAGAAGAGAAAGGAACTCAAAGTCTTACCTGACAAGGCAGATAGACTGTTGGAAATTGATAGGGCTTTGGTCTCTTCTAAGACGTGTTTCAAAAACCAGAACATCCAAGATCATCCAAGTATCTCTTGGTGTCTCATCCATGCAGGCTTTGGCTCGCTTCCAGTTCCTGGAAGCAGTCGTTCGTCTTGCCTTCAAGAGGCTGCATTCCGTGTTGGATACTTGCAAGTTGTGCAAGCACAAAAAGGTCCGTATTCAGTCTTCTGCGACTGTAGCTGCCTCTATGGCAAGACGGAAATCAGCCCACTGTGGGCGACGACAGCCCAACGTCTGCATTTCAGCTGCTCGACGTCCGCTGACGACGACTCCGCCAGGTTCTTGCGAGGAGGGGCGAACAGTTCTGGTGCCGACGACATGAAACAAGCCATTGACGCGCTTGAGGAGACCCTTTTTGACATGTGGGCAGGGACGGTGAGAACTGTATTGACTGCTACATGCTGGGAGGACCTTCTACATCTGGGACAAGAAGCCATGGAAAAACGCCGCACATTGCATGTTCTTGGCTTAGTCGATTCGGCACACTGTGCAACGAGTCTCAAGAAATTCATGTATGTATGCCGCGTGACCTGGCTATGCTCTGTTTCTTTTTTGGTTGGCCGTTCTGGTGAATTGTTTTGCGCCTCCTTGCTTTTGGTGAATTGTTTGCAAGACTGAGGAGTGCCTGTTCACAGAGGAATGTTGCCTCGTATACCGGGATTATCAGGCTTGGTTTTGACAACAGGAAGAGGCATTTTAGACGGACGACTGTGGATTGGAGAGAGTTAAAGACTTAAAGATATTTCGGCATGAATTTTGTTTGCCAGGAGCACCTCAAGGTCATCTATGAAGGCTTTACGTCTCGGACTCAGCACAAACTCCGCGAAGTGTCTTTCGTAAGGTGGTTCGACCGAAGAATCTTGGGACCCCCCCCACAACAAGCTGGCTCTGGGAATCTGGTCTCCAAGACGAATTTCTGCATGACGAGGGAGACTGGAATGTATATAGTATAATGTAGTGTAGTATTAATCTCTGCATGTGGAGAGTGTTTTATTGCCGGGGGGGTGGGACCAAATTGTTTAAGGGGTGACAGTGACGATTGGGGGCTTTATGGGGACTCTCTTTTGTCCTTTGACGACATCAAGTGTTGGACAGGGTTTAAATGCGGCTTTGACAAAGACGGATTTCGGGGGATAGCTTTGGAGCAGGAGAAGGGGGGCGGCCTAAAGTGTGGCCTATTGGTCCTATTATAAGCCAGCATGAGCAAGCAGTTTTTGAAGTTGATCGATTAGGGTTGGGTAAGAGGGAAAGGTGAAATAGGACCGTAGGATCAATACGACGAGAGATTAAACAGATCAGGAGATTTGCAGTGCAGAAACCACAAGTCAACAAGACCGAACTATGCAAAGCAGGAAGACATGGCACATCTGCTTTGGCGCCTAGGAGCGTGAGCTCCTACCCCGGGCGTCGCGGCCGAATTCTCTCCTTTGGTTGGACACCCAAGCTAAAGTTTGGCCGGTGCCATCAGTTTCTCTACATGTTCAATCATGTTCATGCACTCAACATTCACCGTTTGCCCGCGTGATCGGCATGTTTCAAACGTGTTTTGATACGTTTTGTAGCACTTAAATATGCACAAATCGCAAAAAAAGCTCGAAAACGGAAACCGTTGGACACTCGTTGTCCCTTTTTAACTCCTCCAGCTTCGGCACCCGAATCGAGGCGGTTGGCTCACGCTTTGTGGCCAAGCGATGCCAGAGGAGCGCGTGGAGCGGCGGTCACCCCGGACACTAAAGGAACAGATTCCTTGTGATTCCTCCTTTTCTTCGGGATGTCAACGGAAACACTGCCCTGTTAGATTGGATGCCACAACGATAATCTGTTCTTTGTTGATTTGCAGCATGAACGAAACGAGGAGCCCTCCACACGACTTTTTCGGGAAGCCTTCGCTCTGGGTCGCGAAATCCGCGTGGATGAGACTTCGCAATACAGGCGGCACGACTAGTCGTGGGTAAAAACATCGCTGTTTGATGTTCAGATGATATTTGTTGGATTTTGTTTTGATGTCATGGAAATGGATGCCCTAGCAGGTGTTTTTACTAGCAGACCTAGCAGCATAGTAAAGGGTCTGAAGATGTCTCTCGTGAGCATTAGCATTGTCGCAATGCCGAAGGCATATGGAGCTTGCCTGGCCGGAGTATTTGGTTGCAATGGGTGCAATCATGCGGCTACAGCAAGACTTTGATCCTGAGCAGCTCAGCCGGTAAATGAATGATATCTGCTGTGCGGGGGCATTTGGGCAGGTGCACCAAAGAAGGGGAGCCAAGAACACTTGGACTTGATCACATGGATGGAATCCTTTGACATCCCTTTGAGGTTTTTTGCGGAGAGTCTATCAAACTTCTTCGAGACGCTCATACCTCTGAGTGACAGCCTACTGGCGGGCAACCCAGCTACTGCAGGCAGGGACACGGCTTTTCCATCCCAAACCGACTGCCGCGTTTTCGCGAAAATGCCAGGCCGCAAGGTTGGGAATTCGAAGGACCAGGAGGGGCAAGATATGTGATGAAGATGTTTGATCTCTGATCATTGGGACTACATGGTGATTCATATTGATCTATAATTTACAAAATAGACAACATATTCATTATTTGTGATGCATGTGCTTGTGTTTTTGTTGGCTTGTGCTTCTTTCTCCTTCTGCTTTCCTCGCGGTCAGTTTCACATCCGGAAATCACGAGGCGCTGCTGGTGCTCATTGCTCAGGTCTTTCAGGCACTCGATCGGATGCGTTGGCAGACAATGGAACAAACACGGATGTAGATCATCTTCGCATGCTCCTGCTCGTTTTTTATTTTTAATGTTTCTTGTTTCCCAGTCTATTGCTTGAAACGTGCCTTCGCAGGAAGCTGATGAGGATGAGACAGGAACCATCGACCAGACAGAGTCAACCCAGCATGACTCCTTTGCTTCCATGTCTAAGTTCTAAGTGACTAAGCAAGACAAGCTAGGAAAAGTGTGGTGTTGTTTGGCAACCCAACAGCTGATATTCTGACAGCTATTCCGCACTCGCATGCCAGATTCCGCACGTTCTTTCAGCAGCCGAAGGTCCGCTTTGAGTCAGAGTTGTCTTTTCGGTTGCATCTCCCTGGCTGCGTCAGATAGCAGAAAAAGATGCTTGACCAAAATCGCATTGCGGCATTGACACCACACCAAAGATGTACTGTACTTCAATCATCTTCAACCAAGAAGTGTTGCAATTCCATGTGCCTCAGGTGCAAGATCAGCTCAGGGAGCACGGCATTTCCATGTGCCTCGGACTCCATTGATATTTCTTCGCCACGGCCGGTCGTGATAGTTCTATTTCTTGGCCGAGATCCAACTTGAACATGATGTTCAACTCAATGGATGCGGATGGTCAAGGCGAGGCCGATTTGAAAGGGCCGCAAGGGTTAGCCTCCGCTGTCGCTTCCTGCTGTGTTGGCCTTTGCAGCTGCCGGGAATGTTGTGGAAAGAAAGATGAGAGAGCGGCCAGTGCATTGCACCTCTTTTTTGGCACGATTTGCTCAAAGACGGCACGAGAAGAGCATAATCCAGTTCATGCACAATTTTCGCCACTTGCGCGACTTCCTTGCACTTGGGAGGATTGCTGACCTTTGACGAGCTGTGTGACGGTGCCACCAGCCCACTTGGATTGCTTGGACGCATGAGACATCAGACACGAGACCATTGAAACATGCATTTGCTACATCTGACAAATTGAGGTCTTGGTGTTTCTTGTAGAACTTGTAGGAACTGTTACTGCCTACTGCAGCAATTTCGCAGCCAGGCTTCTTGAAGATGGCGTCCATCATGAGGCAAATCATTGCATTTTGATGCATTTTGTGTTTGCTGCAGCATGATTTGATTTCTTGTGCGCGCTGTCCCCTATGCATGCGGTCAGGAGCAATGAGCGTGCCATCTCTTACATTCGCAAGGCAATTCCCGTGTTCAAGATTTGAACTTGTTGCTTGTTCTGGCTGCCTGCTAGTAGCAAGCAGTGGATGTGGGCATCCAATTCTCAGGATCCCAAAGGATCAGGCTATCAGCGTTATCAGCGTTGGGTGGGAGAAACAGGACATGCACGAGGGGTTTTGCTGGGTTGATTCTAATAGGGATTTGCCGATGCTTAGAACATGCGTCAGGTCTTTACCGAGTCTGATGACGACGGATCTGGCAGCTTAGACAAGGCGAGTTGGAGAGATGGGTTGAAGATGGGTTGAAGTACTTGCTAGATAGCTTGAGAAACCAAGCAAGGCTTCGGATATGGAACGCAGTCAGCGTGCAAATTACAGATTGATGATGATTGATGATAGATATATGCAGAATTGTACACAAGCATGGACCGTGGACCTCGAGGAACAATGAACAAGGTATCCGAATGAATAATAGGGCAATACAGATCTGAACAGATGCTGGGCCGGGCCAATGGCAACAGAGCCGCACAATCTCGACGTCAGGATGAGTTCAACCGCATCTTTGACGAGCTGTTGCCTTGGAATATTCGGGGCGAAACTTTCTAGTTGTTGCGTTTTGAAGTCAAAGCATTGACGGTTGGAATCGGAAAAGAAGCAGCGACATGTGACGCTTCACATGCGTCAAAAGTCCGCATTGCTTGGATTCGGAACTGATCTCCGTATTTCCTCGCATTCCGGCGTTGCATAGAATCCGACATGCACGTGACCCGGGCAGTCCATTTTTTACTACGTAGACGCAGCATTTTGTTTGTTTCAGTATTTTCCCGTTTTACCAGACCACGCCTCAAGTCTACCAAAGATTGCTCTCGATGTTAAATGATATCCTTGGTCTACTTATACTTGTTATTGCTCCAGGTGTTGCTTCAATTTCTGTTTGACTAGTGACATGGAAGTTCCCGTTCTGGGTGAGTCCTAAAACAGAAAAATGGTTTGACGCAATCTTCCACTCTGTCCGCCCATTTTGGGCCCTTCTGAGAAGCCAAATGTCATATTCGGTTTACAGCCTACCGGGCCTACCGGGCACCGATGGTGGATGGGTGTGTGATGCTTCGAAGATCTGGATTTGGCGCGTGTGGGGATTTGGAGCGTTTTATTTTTGCCCAAGGCCATCCGTGAAGAAGAAGATGGAGTCTTTTGGCATCCATGTGCTGTGCCAAGAACACGGTGTTCATTGAAGAATTCAGTCGATCGGTTTTTTCGGCCTTGGGAGCCCCAGTGACCTGGATGGTGGGCATCTATAACCATCCAGTATGGATTTTCGACCAACAGAATCACAGCTGTCACATGGCATGTGCCGGACTGATGAGATCTGGTAGCCGTAAATTACACTCCCTGAAATCATCAGGGGAAGTAGGACAAACCACCATCATTTGATGGATTTCTTCGGACCAACCAACCACCTGTTGGTCTTCGGATTGGTAGAACACTCCAACGAATTCCAACGACCTGTTTGGTTTGATGGGAAGTTCGGCGAGTCGCTTCGCTGGACGACCGGTTTTGTCGAGGCCACCGACCTGTCAGACTTGTTCTCGCTGATCGATGAGGAGCGGTGTGAAGCAGAATGGGAGCGTCCGGTTTTGGAGTGATTCGTTTCTGAAGCATATGACATTTGAAATGAAAAAGTCTTTTCATGTCCGATTTTTTAAAATAGTGAAAAAGCACAGATCATAAGATGACCAAGATTGACCAAGTGCTTTGATCGCTTTGTCATGAGCACCAAGCTGGACAGGATGGTAGTGGCAGCGTGACTGAGGATGAGGTCGTTGCTGGCCTGGTCATGCTGTCCGAAGCTCTGAGTAATTGCTGACAATTGAAAGTGGGTCAAAACCTGGAGCCCTGGTCCACCATGTAGATTGACCTCCCGTCGGTAGGTCAACCAAGGTCTCCTGATTTTGACACACAGTCATTATCATTTTTCTGTCATGTCACTCTTTTAGATTCTATTTGGATAGGCGCGACCCCAAAACTGCGGGTGAACGTGGTGTGGCGCTGCTCAGCAAGATCTTCCATGAGGACACGTGGTGGGCCGTAAGTGATTGACTGTACATGCGCATGTCAAGCGACTCGAAGCTGAGTACCTTCCCCGTACCTTCAACAAAAACGAGGGTGAGGGTGCTTGGCCCCTGACCACAACAACTTTTCATCACTTTTCCAGCTGAAACACCGTCAGGTTTCGTCGTGTTTCATGTGCTCCGTCGTGTTTGTAGGCGGATTTGGATGGTAGTGGAGCCTTGGACAAGTACGAGTACGTGACGGCCTGGAACCTTTGGGAGCGATGTTTTGCGCCCAAGCCTTGCCGATCCTTGCCTGGCAAGGCTTTCTCGGAAGAGCAAGTGACCCAGCAGCTCATGGCTCGAAATCTCAAGGCTGTGGCATTTTCATGCTTTTTCCTGGACATGTCACCTCTTTTCATTGACTTTTCACATGACATCGGCCCAGAACATGAGAAGCTACTGTAACAGTTTAAGCAAAGATGTAGCAAAGACCCGTTGGCCAAAAGGAAAGTAGCAATTTGCTATCATTTGGTATTCTTCGAACCAATCTCCAAGGGTCCGCAATAGCCTTGGCTCCGGCGACCGCGTCGAATCGGATGCTGTTGGACAGGTCCCGGACTGGGAAGGCCTCTTTGAAGTCCTGGATGCCGATGGAAGTGGAACCCTCCAGTGGGATGAGCTTCGTGAAGGAGCGTTCTTTCTTTCTATCTATCTATCTATCTTTCCTTCTTTCTTTCCTTATTTCTTTATTTCGTTCTTTCGTTCTTTCTTTCTTTCTTTCTTTCTTTCTTCGTGAAGACACACCATTTGCAAGTCCTTTTCCTTTTATATTGGGTAATGTAAGATATATTATATACAGGCATTCTGGATGAATTGCATAGACGACACATCACAAGCACAACTGTTGTTGTTGGTGCTATAAGTATGCTCGCTGAACATAGATGCACATGTTGCAGAAAGAGAGAGAGAGAGAGAAGGAGCCTAATAGGGATGGCCTCCAACCTACTTGTGATGGCCTCCAACCTAAGAGAGAGAGAGAGAGAGAGAGAAGGAGAGAACACTTACAATCCCTCTACGATATCCAGTTGCTTCCGACCGAAGGACTTGTGTCTTTCTGGGCCCGACATCAGATGGATACCATCAACAAGTGACTCTGCTGGACGCCTTCTGATACCAACGTTGCACATTGCTTGGTGCCACCAGTTGCACCAAGAGGTGTGTGAGCACATGTCCATGAACGCATGCAACAACTACATTGGAACTCGACATCGACACATGGCACCAGGAGTTGCTTGCCAGTATTTTGCCAACGAAAGTCATTTGGATCTTGCTCAGCGGTTCTCTGAACAGCTGAACAGCTTGGGTTTCATGATGTATTGCAGATGCTGCTTCTTTCTTGCTTGAATGCCTTCTTGCTTTATGAACAAAGCTAGAATGTCATTGATGCTCGATGGCATCAGCTGCGCAGCTCTTGCATGAAAGTCGTGCAGGGAAGTTTCGGAACGCTTTTGAGGAGCGACTAAGCCAGATAATGTACTTTGGCCTGGGACATGGCAGGCCACCTCTCAATTGGACGTTCTTTGTACAGCGTTTTATCGGACAGTTGGGGTTTGAGATCTGCGAGTCTGACTCTCTGAAGAACAGGGAGAAGCTGAGCCAGGTCTTCAAAAAGGCATTGTGTGTCTGTGGCCTGAGTGGCCAGAACTGGACAATGACTCCCTATGATGGATCATCAAATGTTTCATCAAGTGTTTTATGTATTATTATGCGTGTATATTCATATGAATGTATGTAAACGTTATTGATGGCAGGGTGTGTTCGCCGCCAAGTCTTTGGTTCAACTGACAGGTTCCTCTTTGTCAACGGTTTGCAGAGAGTGCGATAAGCAACTCACTTCTTCGGCACAGCACAAAGAAGATACTCTGAACTGCATTTTCCCATTTGCAATGGCACTCCCCCAGCCTCTCCAACCAATGAACTGAACTTGAACACTAACATCACTAATTAGTCTTGTGCAACTATATTTTTATATATTAGGAAACTCGGATAATTTCTCCTCATGTATTCAATGACTGGATATGACCGGATGGGAACAGAAGTATGGTATATTTGACCAAATCATATCAAGACCAAGGTTTACCTTGGTATACCCAAAGGTGTGCTTTAGTTTGCACATAGTATATCATTATATATATATAATTGTGTCATACCGAGCTATTAATAGCTTCACTTTCTCAAGTGCTTCACATCATGGCTTCACTTTCTCTCGTGCCCTGGAGCTTCGGCAACAGAAGGATTGGACAGGTACCGACCCTAGACCCTTTTGGGATATGCCATTGGTTGCAAGGTCCTCATGTTGATTGTAGGATGAGCAAGGATTTGTGGTGTTTGCAGAAGTGTATGTGGGGGTCTACTGTGGTTCGTGTTGAGCATAAGCTCAAAGCTTGGATTTCTAGGCCCCATGAAGGTGGTTATTTCGCTTCCGATCCGCGATGAGAGGACCAAATGATGAAGCACAAGAAAGGCTGCGACAGGCATTTCAATGAGCGACAGACTGACTGCAAAGTGTCTTTTTTGTATTTTTTTGTGATGGTTTGTGTTTCAGAAGCTAAGACGTCCATGTGGTTTTGTGCTACATTCTGGAGAGGCCATTAGGTGTCCATAGGCTTTACAGTTTGCAACTTGAAGCATTTCTGTGACCTTCATAGCCTTCCTTTAAGCCCACTCCTTTAGAGCTGGCTCAGCCATGACCAGTAAGAGGGGTCGTGAGTTTCAGGAGTTTGGCCAAAACCTGGAAAAGTGATTATGCTCTCAAAAGTGGTAATCTTGTTGAATCATGTTTATTCGTTAACAAGAGATTTTGGCAGATGCTCATTTGGTGAGTTTGCGGTACACATGTGACCAGTGCCGGCGCTTCTTACATTTTGGATAGGGTTAGGCGCATAGCTTCCAATACATATTTTAAACAAGCTGGAAGGTAAGTTGAAGCACTACTTTGACTCATCCTAAACCACGGTGCCAGTCATATTAGGATCATATCACGGTCAATCCATGTTTCAAATATCTATATGTGTAGTTCTGACAGACCTGTCTAAAGCAATGTAAACCCATGTCAAGCAACGACAAAACGTGTGACACAGATGTGAAATTACGCAACAGATTCTTTGATTGCAGGATGATCTGGTGGCGGTGGGCTCTATTTTGAGAGCTTGCAAGGAGGTGTGTTTGGAGACGAAAAGAAGCATGGCCAAATAGGTTGAGATGCTTGTGAATGTATCTGGATTTTTCGTTCCGTGTATGTCCATGTTCCACTTCCTTCCAGGTCTGGATAATAATGTCTTCTGGTGTTGCAATCAGGTGGCTCATTCAATTTGAGCACACACCAGGAGGAGTTTCAACAACTGACGGCAAATGACACATAATGCAACCTTCACGTTCACAAACTAATCGGGTTTTGCAGCTTGGAACCCTTGGACTATGTTTTTTACTGGCCTGTGTCTTGTGTGGGCGACACCATATGTAGTACAGTAGCTCAAAAGCGCTCAAACAGGAACAGTGGCATGGCCGTGTAGAGTAGCAACAACGCGACAAGTTTCTTGGAAGATGCAGTAGTCGTTTCCGTGCGGTGCAAAACTGATGCAAAGCTGCTTGGAAGCTGCGGGACTGTCGCAGTACAAAGACGCTTGGCCTTTTATTGATCAGCGCATCGAACGATCTTTTTGCTGCCTTGCGTCACTGTCCTTCGGATCACTCCAATTGTCGTGGAGTGGCTGAGGAGGCCTTTTTGAGGGAGGGCTTCGATGATGTTGCTGCGCTCTTGAAGAGGGCGCAAAGAGATGGCAACACCCTCACGAAAGAGCTGAGCGAAGAGACCGGGACTTCACTAAGCGTACTCAAGCGGTTTTGGTTTGCTCCACAGGTCCCCAAAAGTAGGCTTGTATGCATCCAGTTTCTTCTGCTGCTTTTACACATTCCAGATCCTACTACCCGAAACTTTACAAGTGACCCTTGACGCTCAGGACCTTTGTATGCCGAAAGGGCATGCCAGAAAACTCGTTTGGCACTTGCAAGAGTTGGGAGTCACAATGACAACAAGCACCAACAAACCAGAGCCTGAGCATGAAGCGGTGAAGAATGAGGTCAAAGAGGAGCCCACTGATGCTGTTCAATCCTCGCCAGAGCAGACACACTATGACATCTTGCAGGTCGATGGGGGCGCTTCTTTTCGTGAGATTCGCCAAAGTTATTTGAAGTTGGTTGTCCGGACGCACCCGGACAAACCAGGTGGCACGACTGCCGGTTTCCAGCGCCTGGAGGTTGCGTACGACACCCTGAGCGATGCTGAGCGGAGAAGAGAATATGACAACAAGATTGGCACCTCGGTTGCCACTTACTGATCACCTGAATCATTCAAGATGATGTCAAGTTTTTTGGACTGAGACTAGTGACTAGTGTAGCTGACAATGCCAAGTCCGTGTGCTTGCTTAGAGCGTCCCTTCTTCATCCATTTCAGACCTTTGCTCAGGCCTTCAAGGCGTCACTGCCCACCCGCGTTGCCAGCGCAATATGGAGGACCAGTATGACATTCAGGCTCTATGGAGTGCTATGTTGGCTGGTGGTCGAGGGTGTTGGGTGCAGTGGCTTGCAGCTTTGCCACGGGGTGCTCTGGCTGGCTTGCAGGAGCTAGCGGAAGGTCAGTGTTCCAGTTCTCGCGCGTGCCCAGAACTGACGCAAGCGTTGGTTGCAATCGGCTCCATCCACGATGGAAGGGAGGTGCAGCAGCTGGATAGCGAGCTGGACTGTGGGCGAGACATCCTGACAAGTCTTGTGTCGACACTTGCTGCGCCTGCTCCTACACATTGTCTGGTTGAAGAGCTTGTCCAGGCAATTCGCCCAGCGGCCACACGTGCCCTCAGCAACCAAGCAGCGGATGCGCAGGTTGTTTCCAACACACTTCGCCAGCTGTTGAGGAGGCTGGTATACAGAACAAAGTGGGCAAAGCGGTACAGAGACTTGCTCCAAAACTTCATGCCAGAAGTGACCCAAGCATACATGGCCTCTGCAGGGACTTCTTTCGAGATGGTGAAGGCTATGATTCCACCAGTTCCAGCAACAGCAGGTAGCGGAACCGGAACTTCAAAGCCGCAAGAGCCAACCAAGAAGCAGAATGGTCATTACTACCGGGCGGGCAAAGGGTGGATGACGAAGGTGGTCGTCAAGTCTGTGCACATGATGAGCCAGAGTTCGAAGAACCTGACAGCAGTTGCTGAGGCCCGGGCCAGCCTGACGACAGTGAAGCGGTTGACTGAAGCTTCGGTGCGAGCTGGCGTGGACTTTGCGCAAGCGTTGCAGGATGCAACGCAGGTTGCCAGACCGCAATGCCTGACTCCACTGATCTGGCAGTGCAGCTATGATGCTCGTGAACTGGTGCCACAAGCCGGAATGACCCCTTCAACGCCGTTGCTTGAGGAGATGTTGCAGCAGCGGGAAGAGCTACAGCTGCGCGTCAAGGGCCCTCTTGGCTGCAGTCTGACAGGTGAAGACTTGAAAGGCCTTTGCAACGACATGCGCAAGAAGCGCAAGGAAGCTGCGGAGATTGATTCTGAAGAGAGATTGCTGAGAGCTCGAGCTGGCCTGGGCAAACTCGTGAAACAAGAGCTTGACTGTCGCAATGCGGTCAAAATGTTAGGGTTGAACGAAGAGATTTTGCTTGAGGAGCAGGAGCAGAAGCAAACCATACCTGCCCGGCGACGTTCAGCAGACCGACTGGCCGCCCGCTTCTTGCAGGAAAGCGAGGAGGTCACTGACGCTCAGGTCTTGGCGGTGTTGAGTGAATGGGGTTTTGAAGAGAACAGTTCGAGGCAGAATGTTATGCCGCGTGGCAGGACCTTTATCTATAGCGACATCTTGGGCGCTGTGAGGACGAGGATGGGCGCTGTCCAGCTAACTCAACCGACTGCGCTGTACCCGAACGTCAGCCGGCTGTTGTGCAAGAATTTTCAGCAGAGCTCAGGAATGGCCATTCCCCACACGAGCATGTGCATCAACAAGGGGTATCCTTCAAAGAAACACCGTGATTCACACAACGAAGGGCCTTCTGCCATCAAAGGCTTTGGATCCTACGACGGGGGTGAGCTCTTGTACTGGCCGCGCGACAGCGGGCAAAGCTTGGCGAGCCTTGCAGAGTCCGACGCCAGCGTCTTAGACATACGCACTCCGACAGCTTTCGACGGCTGCCGAGCGCATGCCACGAAAGCTTTCCAAGGGACTCGGTTCAGCGTGGTCCTGTACACCGTGAAGAATTTTGAAACCTTGCAGGGCCACCAGCGGAACCTAGCCACACATGTTTAGAGGTTTTAATGGGGCGTAGGGACGACCCCGAACTGCTGATGCATTGGGTTCATTGCTATCGGCTTTCTTTTGTTTACGTGTGGCGACGCTGTTTGGAACCTTTCTACTTTTTCCCTCAGGATATTGTTGTCCGAAGCTGGGTACAATGTTAGCTCACCTGCCAGCATGGCCCGTTTCAAAGCAGTCCTCTCAGTTTCTGAACCTCGGTTGAGCCAGCCTTTTTTCTGTTGTAACCTGAAAGCACCCCGGCTTATAAGTACTTTCCATGTGCCTTTTGAGCAGAACGTTGTCTACGCGTGTCAGGACTTTTCAGCCTTCCACCTGCCGTCCATGGGTCAAACTCGGTCGGCGTTGCCTGAGAAGAGGAGTTCTGCTGAAAGCGCATGCCCGGAGGCGAAAAGGGCAAGAACGGCGCTGCCAGATGGGGTGATGCCTCTGAGTGGCAGAGCCAAAGCCTGGAATTTGCCGGAGGGCTGGGCGTGCGGTTTCAAGCCACTTGGCTGCCGCATGGTTAGCTTAACAGTCCGTTACTTTTCCTGCAGGCGCAGAGTTTAATAGACCTTTTCCTTGCATCGCTTCCCTGCTTTTGGGGTCTTGTTGCACGAAGTTTTTGCACTATGCGCGTGCTGGTGCTAAGGATGACTTCCACGAACAGAAAGGTCAAAGTAGCCGTCGGCCCATGTGGGCAGGTGTTCTGGGACTTGCCGCTTGGACAGTGAAGTGTCTACTTGATACGGTGTAGGTAAGCTTGAGGATCCCTTAGATTTGCCTGGGTTGTGGTATTTGAGATCTTGCTGGGTTTTCTACGCCCAAGATTACCTGAATAGCACAGCCACCCGCCAGTAATTTAATATGGACACCGCAAGCCATGCAAAATAAGGCCTGGGTAATCATGCCTGTTGAGGCAGGACATGCTCTTGATAATCGGAGTGTGCTGCGTCCAAACCTCTTAGTGCTTACGCGGCGCGCGGTATCCACTCTATGATTTGTATGCGCGTGCGCAATGCATGTATGATGGAAGTTAGTCGCGCAAGAAACCATAACATGTATACCATGCGCGCATGTTAGCGCAGAGTTGTACACAAAGACGTGTGTACGCACATGTTTTTGTCGCTGGTGTCCTTATATTAACGTGTCTATGCACGTTATCTCTCCATATGCGTGTGTACCGTTACAGCTGGGCAAAGCCAGTTTGTTGAAACCAGGCTTCCACATGTTCTTAGTCCGAGATAGGAACTGGGCTGAGGCGTCAGGCCAAGCGAGCCTACCCTGGCGTGCTTTGATCGACCCTCACGCGCAGCAGTTCAAATCACGCACTCAGTTCAGTGATACTTGGAAAGCTTTTTTGCACTCAGCCTCAGCCAGCCTGTTTTTCGCACCAATGGCAACCATGTGGTGATGCAGGCGTACCTTCGTGCCGTCAAAACATTAGCTTGAGCGCCCCATGGGGATGTCACAGTTGCGCCGCTTTTGATTCCAAAGAACTGTTGTAACAGACCAGATTGAATTCAAAAATGGGTTGTCAAGACGATTTTTAGGGTATTGCTGGCTGAGCTTCTATTCCTAAAACTCAGACAGCCTGGCCATAAGACCATTGGCGTCAAGGCGACAAGGGTGCTGCATTTATGTTGCAAGGGCGTGTTGCGAGCGACCGTCTTGCCGGAGAGAAGGGCATGGGGTACAGGGTATTAGGCGTTGGAATTGAATTCTGTCAACGCATTGTGCCATTGAACGGATTGGCCTGGCCCGACCTTTCTTTTGAGCCTCGATCAACCTTCGTTCGGTGCGCCCGGCTTCAGACCTTCTCAGCTCAAGCTGAGCTGGTTGGGCCAGCTAAAGTCAGGTACAGGTAGAGGTCCAAACTGATAGACACGTCGCTAGGAACCAACCCCTTATCAAAAACATTGATGATGATGCCCTGGGACGCCTCCAATGATCCTTCTAACGGGGTTATCAGTTTGTGCACGAATGTTTTCTGCAAATGTTTTCTTGCCAGCAGAGATGCTTCACAGGAAGGAAAATGCATACACGCACAGCACGTGTATCCCAGTCCGATGCATGGCAGAAACTTGCCGGCCCCTAAACTCGTAAGAAGACCCTTGAAAACTGTATGCTTTGGAGCGCATTTTTTCCGCCAAGCTTTGCCGGATGGCGGTGCTTCGCTCGTTCTTGCTACTGAGCGGCTCCATATGTTCTGCCTCAACTGCACCCAGATGGTGGGAGGCCAGTGGGCAGAATTGGGCAAAATTCATGACATGACAACATATAAAAACATACATATATATAACGTCGTGAACATCACCGTTTTTGGACATGTTCACCAGACACCACACCGGTCGGAAGCGATCAACGACGTGCCAATATGCAAACATATCATAGTGGAGTAGGCAAGGATACGTTACAGTGATGTTCTGGGTTTGTTTCAATTGCCAGCATTTGCAACTGTCCGTGGCAATGTGTGGTCTCTTCCAAAGAGTTGCGGACATTTGTTGGGATTACCTTTTTTATGTTTGGTGATTCGTGGCATTCGTGGCGAGGCAGGGCAAGTAGCGCTCGCATTTGTCCACCCAAGAATTCTACCCGACAACACAACCAGCGTCGACCGATTCACGATGCTCCCTTTTTGGGGGAAAATCACGGGTCAAGGCGAGTGCCCCGTTGTGTGTTTCTGCCCTGGCGATGTTGTTCATCCAGAATCCGAGAAGGAACTTTAAACTGCATGGCCAGCTTCAATATCCGCTGCCTAACTTAGACCACTGAGATGCAAATTGATCAAATGACATACTGTAAATTGTTGGCATCCCCAGATTGGTCGATTTGGGCCTTTGACATAAGTCGAAGGGAAGCCGATTCCTGCAACCCCATGTGTTTTGTATTGTTTTGTTATATGTTTTAGACTTTCACTTTCACTTGCTACCTCAGAACACCTGTTGGTTAGTAGGTACTTTCGGATATGAGCATCGTATTTGCCGCGTGAAAAGGTCTCTTCAGAGGAGAACGCCAAGTCGCTTGCGCTCTACTTCGACAGGGAGGCTGGTGGCATTGCGTTCTGCGTTTCAATTGAATCCCATTTGACATCCTGTCTACTTAGAGTCTACTTAGTCTACTTTCTTCAAATTCTGTAAATGTTTTCCTTGAGGCCAGGCGCTACTTTGTCTACACAGAAGGCCAGCCGCATCCACAGTCTTTGCAAGACAGATCTTTGGACATCCTGAGGCAACATCGCTTCCAGCGAGAAAGCCTTCAGCATGTGAGCGCCTTATGCCACTGGCCACTGATGCTATTTCCAAAAAGCTTCGAAGTGCCTCAAATGAAAACTCTTGATCTTTTCTGAGGTACTTCAATGTTGCACGCGGGCCCACGGTGAAGAATATTTGTGAAGTTGGCCTGATTCCAAGTCACTCGCGGGTTTCTTCCTTTGTTTTGCCTTTCAACTGTTTCTATCCTGATTTGAGGCAGCACCACTACTACTACTTCTTTCATTCTTTGGATTGCGACCTTTGTTATACCCGTGCTTTCGGCTTTTTCAGTTGTACCCCGGGCCTTCTCACTTTAAGCTTTGCTTGCAAGCTCCTACTCTGCCTGCTGTAGATATGCTGGCTGGGGTGGCTGGCCGGCTGGAGACCAGTTGGTTGACAGCAAATTTGCTACGGATTTGGCACAGAACCGAAAGGCATCTGGCACAAGAAGAAGCGTTCTCAACGTGCTTGGGTGACTCCAAGCTTCAGCAGCTTACTGCCAAGAACAGCATAAAGAAGTGTGAGTGTGAGAGATTGGATGCGATTAGTGGATTTGGCGGCTAGTGTCTTGGCTCTTGCCGCCGTAGTTAGCGTAGATACATATATGCATATGTTGTATTGTGTATTATTTTGTTATATAGCACGTAATGTTAAATGTATGTAAATATCAGAAACCACTACAAAGCTCAATTCTGTATAAAAGTGGTCCCCGGAAGGGCCCCCAGAGACACAGTCATTTGATAGTAGATCCAGGATTTTAGAAGTCATAGTAAAGGTATTTTTGTTGAAGTCCGTGCAATCCGTATGGATGAAACAACATGAAATTCGACCCTCAGTAGCTTGAGGTCCATTCCACACATTATACATGGCATATCAATGTATAGAAAAAACACTTTCTCTATTGCATTATTTCATCATCAATAAAATGTATGGCCATTCATTTTGTAGCAGCCATTTTTCAGACGTTCTTCCATTCTGTAGTTTTCTTTTGCTGGAAGGTCTCGCGTTCTATAGTGATTTCTGCATGCCCAAAACATTGTAGCTATAAAAGGGCCCGCATGACCTCTCCTGAGGGCTATGTTAAAGCGAACATCGCTTACCTAGATATAAGAATCCGGGTCCTCAAATGGAAAGGGTTTTTCAGGGTCAGGACCTCTGCGGACGGTCCAAGCATTCTTAGAGTAGATCTACCGTAATCTCCTTGGATTGACACTGCCTTGGTGGCCGATCTTTTCACTTAGGTGTCTTCAGACTCGGCTGCGTTCCGTTCTTGAGGCTTCAACGCTGGACATTCCACAGCCATTTACCTCAATGCAAACCCAGAGGCCTCAGTGCAAACTCCCATGACCTCTGTCGTTTTTGAAGTGCGGAGTACATGCTCAACTCGAATGTTTTGCGATTCGGAACTCGACGACGGGAGGCGAAGGTCTTCTCTTTTGACATTGGGCAGTTTCCGTACACGGTGGGCAATGCGAAGCTGATGAAGGCCGATTCAACGATCCATTCTTTTCTTTTGCATCACAAACTGAACAAATCACAGGAAGACATGAAGGAAGAGCCGACTTCTTCCCAGACCTGAATTTTTGGCTCCAGTTCTGCTCCAGTCTCTCTTTCCGGACCGCTTCGAGTACATCTCTGGCCCATCTGCAGAGACTGTGAGAGCATTCGGCGAAGAAAGGTGCCAGCGGCAATGTTCCCTTGGTTTTTCGCTTGCTTCTTTCAAGAGACCCTTTCAAGACTGTTCCAGTTCACAACATGACCTTGCAGGCCTGACATCAAGTGTGACGTGATCAGTGTTGGAAACTAAGTCTCCGGTCACGACCCGGCGCCGTGTTGATGGTAACACCAAGGTTGATGGTGACCACAGCACTGAAGGAACCTTGGCAGATTTGGAGAACTTCAGAAAGCTGGCATCCTGCAGGCACTGTGAATCACTGGCATCACTGCAGCTTCAAGTAACACACAAGTGGCAGAGTGGCAGCACACAAAGCAATTGTAGAGGTTGATGATAACTGTTGATGCGGGTCAAATTTTGGATAGTGACAAACGGCAGGAACTGGGTCCTCATGGATGATGCTGGCTGGAATTCAACCAACTCTGCGTGGCAAAAGGCCAAGGATGCTGGCATCCTTACACAGGCTTTTGGCAGCCATCACTCTTGAGTGTGTATGCAAAGGATTTGACTTTGGATGAAACATAGATTTGGTTTTCGAGTTTGGAGTGTGTATGTATGTCTTATAAATTCCTTGTTTCATCTTTTTACTAATTACCACCCACTACAGGGTGGCACCTCGAGAGAATACTTCTGGGGCAGGTGGAATGTTTTGCAGACATGAACCCCAGGCTGGTGCAGTTCGTGTTTTGTTGTTCCATTTTATCTTGTGTTTAAATGTGTTCTTTTTTGTGTGTGAGTGTTTGTGTTTGTTTGTTTGCTGCACGTGTTGTAAACCTTGATGTGTTTGTTGCCGATTTCCTGAACCGCTCGTGACATGATTGACCAATGGATGGCTGCCGCCTCGAGTGCGGTGGAGACGGGGTCTTTTCAGCCTGTGGAGACTTGCTGCTGTTTGTCGCCTGATAATCTGCTTTGCAACAAAATTAAGGAATTCATTCATGTTCTACTAGGTTGGAGGCCATCGCTACTATATAGGTTGGAGGCCATCGCTACTATATAGGTTGGAGGCCATCGCTACTATATAGGTTGGAGGCCATTGCAAGTAGGTTGGGGGTCCTTGCTACTAGGTTGGAGGCCATCGCACCTCACAGGCCAGATTACCAGTTCATGGAGTACCCAGAGAACAGATCTTGGTGCCTGGGGGCCCAGTGAAGCAGAAATGGTAAGGTCATGCAAGGCCTGTCACCATGTGCAAGCATTTTGATTGGGAGATCTTCCAAGGCCTGGGATTCTTCAACGTTCAGGATTTGGATTCGGAGTGTCCCGTGTGGTTCAAGACAAGTCCAAACACCGCCCGAAACCTCAGCCCGAACATTCTGATGAGTCTCAGTCCGGTAGGAAGGCTCAAGTGGTTCCTCTTCATGTCTTTGGTCATAAGGGAACACTAGAATCGGCAACTTTTCCTGGGTCATAGGATAGATTAAGGGATTTCTGGCCTGGGACCGTTTCTTCTCTTGATTGGTCTTGATTGGTCGTGCTTCGGCCGCTTGAGGACAGAACCTTCGTCCGCCCGATTGAGATTTGAGCGGCCAACTGAACAGCAACCAACTGTTCGCCGGGAGATTCACATCACATGTCAAGAAATCTCAGTAAGACCAAATTGAGCGTGGGGAGGTTCCGCAGACTTCCACTTTGGAAACTCAGTAGCATGCGATATTTATATATATATATATTATTTTATCGTGTTGGTTGCACTCTGTCGGCATTAGATGGCTTGTTCGCTGGCTTGTTTGCCCATCAAGAAATCGCGAACGAAGGAAAAGGATTGACCAGCTGCTGCGGGTTGGTCTTGTACTGGTAGCTCAGATTGCTCATGACAACAACAAGTACTACTCACACCGCCTTCCTGGTTTTCCGCTGGCGTTGGCCAAAACAAGGATCAGCTTCAGAACAGGAATGAAGAATAAGCAGCCAAATTAAAGTTGATGCATTTGCCAGGGAACAGGCACGACCGTTGGCAGCATGAGTGCTGAGAAAGATGATTCTGCAAGTGTTTGTCACCTTCAGAAGAACTGGTGCATGCATGTACATGCTGTTTTGCACTGGGCATGACAGGGACAAAGCACCATCAAGCAAAATATGGCACAACACACCGTTTTCGCAACTTGGGCGTTAATTTGCCAAGCTGTGCTTTCCTGCACCAGCCAGGTTGGCAGAGTTCTGGCACGTTCGTTGGATTCTTTCCTGCCTCAGTGCGGTTTGGAGTGGTGTCAGGACAGCCAGACATGAGGCACATGCCAGGCCAGCCGGTCGTCGTGGCCAAAGCCTCAGACAGTCTAAGCTTGGACTTCAAGCTTCTTTAAGCCATAGGGTATACGGCATTTTCACCATGTGTTCACCGAGTTCACCTGTTCACCTTTCATTCACTTCAGCCTGTCCAGTAAACGAAGGTCAGTGCCGCGGGTGTCTCCGGCTGGCCCAGGGCAATTAGTCCTCCACTGAGGCCTGGGTGAGAATGAACAATGTGCAACAATATGACCCAGTGCATTCTGAACACTGCAATATTTCGTCGTTGAAGGCTTCCAGCATTTCTGAGTTCACACGGAATGCCACTTTCTATTCAGGAAAACACACGGAAGAGAGTCGAAGCTTCCAGTCCTTGCCCTCCAAACCCGTTTTGCGAGGCAGCTCAGCCCACCACATTTCCAGCCGCAGGCGGAGAAGAGATTGACCAACAACCCTCCGATCGAAACTGACCGGTCAGAATAGGCCAAACATAGACCTAATACCGAATTCTGTAGCTTGCTGAGTGGAGTGGCATAAACTGCAAGCATACTTGCAGTGCAGTAGTGTTTAGAGCTCACCTCATTTGCTTGAGGCCAGGTATGTCTCCTCCCATCGAGCTATGTTTCAAACTTATCAAGCCAGTTGGACAATTATTTGTCCCCTGCGCGTTTGCTTTCAGCCATCGAATGCTGTGCAGAACTTGAGCTATTGAATGTTGTGCAGAACATTGCTGAACAGACTCACAACCAGAGATCAAGCAAACGAGAGACAAGATGTTTGCTGGCTTTGTTTGATCGCTCATGGTCCATTGATGACTGCAAGACGTGTGTGTGTGTAAACTCATAGTTACAAACTCATATACAAGGGAAGTTTCAGGCAGAGCTCACGGGCGGATGTTTCAAAGTATGTTAAACATACATAATATAATAATAGGAAAGTGCTTTGTGTGATGAACAGAGGTGATTACTTGTCAGTTGAATGGTAACGGAATCTCGTGGTTTGGGTTTGTAAACCGGAACGTGGTGCTTTCCGCTCAGATCCTTTGATTCCTTTCCGCAATTGAACCGCGAGACTCTCGACTCTCGCCCTGGCTGCCAGCAGTCCGAACCCGCTGACAACGTGCTTTGGAATTCGGCGTCATTCTATGAAAACTCGTAGTGTTGCACCACAAAAGAAACTCTCCCAACCTTCCGAGACCCGACAATACGTTTGATTCTTTTTCTTATTCAGTTCCCCAATAATTGGAATTGCATTGCAGACCGCCTCCTGAAAAGTTTCAGTAGCCCTTACATGCACACATTGAGCGTATAGAGGTATATACTGTAATATTATATAGATGTATATATATATATATAGTAAGCATGTGTGTATGTGGTTATGAATATTGATTGACATTTCATGGATGCAGAACCCGTTGCAGAACCTGTCGCAACATTGAAGCATTGAATTAGCTCATCTTGATCACTAACTTGATCACTTTGTCCAAGGTCCGAATCCGTGGCATGCTTAGTGGCTTAGTGAAGGCTCTCCGTGGCTTTGAGCAGGTCAGATGTTGCACGAACACGGTGCACCCAGGCTTGGGGTGCAAGGTCGAGGTCCTCATCCCCTCAGGCGGACAGCCTGCAAACATAGACCGCAAACACCACAGTGAGGCCATAAAGAGATGAGAATCGTGCAGTCGTACCTTGAATCAAGATGTTTGTGATTGTTTGTGACTTCCTTGAAAGTGCCAGGGGCCTGTCCAAGTTCATGCAGGCGCGAGCATGCCGAGATATTCCGCTGCCGAGTTGGTCGCTAAAGCTGAAGATGTCGGGCTAAATGCTACCGTTCCAGTGAGAACTGGAGTCCTTCAACCTTGTACTAGCGAAGATTCCATTGGAGGAATTTGACTCATACAGGACAGTAGGGGGGATAGCGGATGTCCAGAAAACTGGATTTGGTGTGGCGTTTGACTCACAACCATATAGGAGAGATTCTATAAAGCTGTTGCTATAGTTCCATGACATGGCACCATTGAGGAAGGACACGCAGGAAACCCAGGCAAGGTGTCACACTCCCGTCAGAAGTCATATGCTTGTGCTAAATGCCAACAATCCATTTCAGCTACAACTAGCGGTTTTTGTTTCGGAAACTCCTCGCTACAAGTTCAGGCGATGCAGCAGTTGCAATAAACCGATGGAAAACACACTTAAGACAAAGTGGCAAATCGGTGCAACAAAAGGCGGCACCTCATGGTGCTCAGGTGCTTGGGACGCCATCTAAAACGAGGTCACGTTGGCCCATTCAAGTCTGTGCGTACGTGTGGAGGAGAACCAGAGACCATGTTCAGCTACCGAGGTTATTTTTGAAGTTATATTTGTTTGTGTGCCCGGCACAAGACGCTCCATCCAACTTTAGACCCATGGACGTTCCCTCCAAAGTGTTTGCCACGAAGAAGTGGTGTCCGTAACCGTGGGTGGGTGGGTGGGGAGCGCAGAGGGTGGGTGGGCAGGTGAGTGGGGGAAATGGACGTCCCTTGCGTTTGACGATTACTGCATGGCGCTGGTATATTTACCATGCATGGCGCTGGATCAATGTCTGTTACTTTGAGGATGTTTGAGGGGTCAATGTCAGCGGAGAAAACTCCAGTCCCATTATAGTTGTGTCTGGGAAGTTTCCTTGGCGTCACGCCCGTGGGCTGAATTTTCAAGATATCCAGAGACCACGAAGTCGTGTGATATGATTGTGCATTATAATGCAAAGCACTCTTGACAACCCGAACTACTGTGAATTCGGTCGTCAATTTGGTCGAAATCAGCTGTCAGGCCACAGCCCAGGCGCAGCGGCTGTTTCCGAGATGGGTCGTGACCCACCTGGAGCCATGTAGCGGTCGTTCCACCGGTCCACCGTCGGTCAGGATATGTCACAGTGCACTCACCACGCCTCCTGGTGGCAAGTCCTCGCGCAATGCCACCGCCTGTTGTGCCGGCTGTGCCATTTCAGGTCTCTTGGATGCATGGTCAAGACGGATGAAAACAGCATATCAGTGTGCCAAGGTAGTCTTGCTAAACGTGACCAAGACGTTAATCTACTTTAATGTTGTAAAGTTGTACTGTTGTTGTACTCTAATTTCTAGGTTCCAGTCTATGGACGTGCAGTGTACGCGCGGAGCTTAGAAACTCAGACCTCAGATAGGTATCCTCCTCTCGATGCGTGTCACAAGGTTTGCCGTGAACTTTACCATGCCTCCTATTGATTACTGTAGCATTTTTGAAACACAAACACAAGTCCAGCTCACTTGCTGTGCTCCGCGTTCTGCCCTGTCAAGAGATTCCGCCAGCATTCAGGCTTCCGTTGCTGTGCCAGCCGCACGGTGCCGCACCTGCGATATTCACTCATTGTATAGCGTTGTTGTCTTCTCATTTGTTAATATGAATGAGCTTTCTCCTGTCGTGGCTCAGCACCCTTCATTGAGGCAGAACACTATGCCCTCCCGGGCGCAGGGGTACGGACCTCAAGATGAAGAATCGGAACACTGAATTGTACAGAGTGAACATGGCCGAACTGAGGCGAAGTCAGGTTCGTACCTCAAGAAATGGCTTGAAGATCCTGAAAAATGTTCAACAAGAACCATTGAATCCATCGGTTAAAAGTCATTGGATTGGTTTCAGGGAAAATCTACAGGAAAGCATGGTTTTCATTTCCAAAACTATGGGGTTCCTGTAGACGTTCCTTTAAGCCGACTCTGCGATATTGAAATTTGAACTTCCCAAGAGTCACAAGGCGCAAAAGCCGCATACGATGCACCTGGCAAGTGCGTGGGGGTTCTGAAAGAGAGATAGTCTGCGAGACAGATGGTATGCGAAGATGGCGTGGCAATAGTATCAACATACAATCAGTCAATAGTTGATCATATATTCATATCATGTCATATATATATATATTCATATAATACATATGATATACTAATGCGAGTTATAGCACATACAGTAGTCATTTAGTCCAAGGACGAATCAGTCAGATGGGTGCTTTTAAGGCCAGCAATGCCACTGAAATCACGGCCTTCTGAATTAGTGAGATGCTGAGTGAAGACAGACGTCGGACAGTTCCAGGCCTTGGCACTTGGATAAAACATGATAAAACTATTGAAGATGTTTTCATTCTTTTTAGGGGGGTGGGTAGGCCGTTGGTAGAGGTGAGGTAGGTTAGCTAGGTAGGTAGCTAGTAGAAGAGCTAGCTTCTAGTAGCTAGCTGGACGCAGGATAGGTCATGCTTCTCCAAGGAAGCTCCCCCCGCCGCCCTAAAGGCGGCGGAGGGAGCTTGCTTGAAGAAGCGCTCGCACTATTCAATTTGGTTCCTAGATTTTTAAGGAAACTTAATAGAGAAACCTCAGGATTCCTTCATCTCCCTTGGACGAGACGTTGAAGCGTTTTTTCTTGAGTTTTCTTCAAGTGCTATCGCTAAAGGAGCTGTCCCTAGAGAACATGCACCGCTGTTTGGTTCTTTTTCTCTGTTCCGGGAATCTGCGCTAAGCCCATGCTGAGGAGGACTCGTCGGAGTACAGCCCCAGAGACTCCGTTTGGAAAAGGCGGCACCATGTGACAATCCCCCATGTCCGTGTGAGACATCTTCCATAGTGACCATGCGACCCCCCAAAAAAGGACTAAGCGGCAGCGGATGTATTTAAATGTATTTCCTGTTTGAGCAGTACTCATTTCGAACATTTCGGACCATTGGACCGTAGGGCTTTAGATCTCATCTGTTCTATGTTGTGAAAATTCTTTGCATTTGTGAGGTATTTCTGCAACGGAGGGAGAGGACTTGTCCTCGATGTTTTTTGCAAGTTTCTGCATTTTGATGTTTTTTTTTCTCTTCGGAGTCCGTCCGCGCACAACAGATGCAGAATGGACCTCTCCAGGACTTCCCTCCCCAACCTCCTCGGTGGCCAAACAGGCACAGGTTTGAATGCAGACCCGAAGAATCATCAATGAATCATCAAACATATCTCAAGGGCATCGCTACTAGGAGCAAGGACGCTACTAGGAGCTCCTGGCCGTACTACTAGTAACAAGAAGCTACTAGGAACAAAGGGCATAAGAAATCCGACGATTTTGTTGGAGTCCTCATTTCCTTGCGTTTCGTTGGGAGCGCGTGCTTCCTGTGGGTGGACCGAGGGGGGGGCGTCCAGGCCGCACCCAGTGGGCGAGCTTCCGGCAAAGAGAGTCCCATCCCAACGAGAGTCACGTCGCAGACTCGGCTCGGGACAGGCGAACATCCCGGACTGACTCTTCGCAATTCAAGTGTATCGAGGAGTCCCCCCCCATACTGGTAAACAGGAAGGCAAGGAGATATATACAGGGAGTTCTCCATTTCCTTGCTATAAGAATTATAAGGCCGGGAATTCTATACTGCACCTGGACCGGACTGAGAGAGGCGACCTCATCCGTGCGGCCCATCATATGCGTGTGCACGAACTGCGTGCTTGACGGTCACTGAGGGAGGAAGTGGTCCAACTACGTACCCCTCAGCAGGAGGCGTTGGAGTCGCCATGGGTCGTACCCAGTGGGTACTAACCACGGCGATCATTCATGGCATGGTCTGGGAAAGCACACAGTTGTGAAGCGTGGAGCGTGTTCGATGGTCCAGGAAGGCCATGGCGTCGCATTGGACCATTGTGCACAATCTGAATTGGTGAACATGCAAAGTGCTGACGTGCCCGGCTCTTAACGATCAGTCCGTGAGCCTTTTCGATGTCGCTCTTGGCCAGTAGTGCAGGGAAGCCAAAGGAGAGGCACGGGCACCAACGTTTTGATTCCTGGTTCTGGGCACGAGTGCATGTTGGCACAAACGTTGCGGATTGACAGTAACAAGCGTCGTAGAGGATGAAAGCCAAAGGCTCCTCGTTCATCAGGCGTCTTTGCAAACGGAAACTCCAGGGTCAGCAACTCAGCCAGCGATGTTGAAAGAGGGTTTGTCGGCTCAGCCTTAGTTTGAAGATAGAACAAGCATCATGCAAGTGAACACAATCAATCCAGGGAATGAGCAACAAAGCACCTTCTACTACTATACTCTTATCATTTTAACTTATAAAGAGCTCGCTCTCTTTCTTTTTTTGCTTTTTCATCCTAAACTTCCCTCGGTTTCCAGCACCAGGTCTCAAGTTTCCAAGGGTGAAAGTCCCCTTCGAACCCTTCCAGGATCGGAAGGCGCGCCGGATAGAGCTGGGAAGGGTCTTCATTGTTCGAAGTTCTTCGTTGTTTCTGCAGACAGAGATGTAGAATGATGTAATTAGGTGTAGAGATGTGTAGAGTTAGGTGTGTATAAGGGCTTGCAACGTTGTAATTACAATTTTCTAAATTTGGATAATCGAGAGACTTTTAGTCTACTTCTTTCCTGGATTCATGCAGAGGTCTACCTACCGAATCAGTGTTCACCCATGTTCGGAGCTGTGATCAAATCTTGTTTACGCCAAGCTGCAGGCCGGGCAGCGCAAGCTGCGCAAGCCGCGCAAGCCCCCAGGCCCGAGCCTGAAGAAAACTCAGAACATGGAGCTGAAAGGATGACAGCACGGAGCATGGAACATACTGCTTTTGGGTTGAGCCTTTCTAGTAGTAGATTTTTTTGTTGCACGATGAGATTTTGATCAAGCTGGAATGCTAGTGGTAACGTTGATTACACTTAGATGATCTTAGATGTATACAGTATATTGCTTTACAAAGAGGTGCCGACATGCAACCAATCCAAGATCTTAGATGTCCACGTTTGTCCACCGCGTTTCCACGTGTGTATTTTTGGCCTCGATGCCACGTCGGAGTGCTTGTCGATGCCACGTCGACACGGGCGCTCGACACTGCTCGTCACCGGGCGCATGTTCGCTCGGCGCTCGACGACGCTCGTGGCTAGGCCAGGGCCACCAGCTCAGGAGCGGGCTCGGCCCGGGAGCCGAGGACGGGGGAGCGTCGCTGCGTCCGTTGGGGTCGGTCTTGGCCTGCGCCTGAGGCCTCAAAGCTCCGAGTCGCAGCTCCTGGTGCCTTGAAGTTGGGCGATGTTGGGGGTTGGGGGGGCTCTGACAGGCTATGTGAATGTTGAAATGATGAGATTAATTGTGATCAGTGATTGTACAATGATGTGTGGAATTTTGCCAACCCCTGTTGCTTGTAGGTCCTTTGCTCTGAGGTTGGACATGTTTGGACAGTTTTTGTTTGTGTTCCTGTGAGGACCATGACATGACCTTATCCAAGGCATATGCTGAGGCTGTATCAGACGAGGTGGGTTCAGAAATGTTCAGAAGTTTTCTATATATACTATATATACACTGTTGTTCGTCTCATCAACTAGCGATACCAACATTTCAGGAGTTGCTAGAGTTGTCAGCTCTGGCTCGACCACCTCCAGCTGGCGGCTTATGGTGCTTCAAGTCTTTTTTGAGTTGGGTGTCGCAGATGTTTCCCACAGGAACATGAACCGTGGCAAGTTCTATCGCAAACAGTCTCCATGTACACGCAGTGCTACTAAAAGGTTCTCTAAGCATTCTCTAGCCACACCAAACCTCCGAGATTGGCCGTTTCATATCTTTTCATGCCGTTTCAGAGCTTATACTGTAATTCAATGTATTTCCAGAAATGTGTATTCTGGGGGGGCCTGACAGCATCCCTTTCTGTTTATTTTGGTCAATTGTGGCAAGGTTCGAGGAGTCATCGAGTCCGTCTTGATGCTTTTAGGCCGCCTGCCTAACGCATCGCCTTCGCACCGCGCAGTGCGAAGCGTCCAAGCGTCCACGCCGCAGTCGCCGCCTGCGCAGTGGACGCAAAAAAGGCTTTCGCGATGCGAGCTGGGCAGCAGCCCGGGCTGCTTTCGAAGAGCCCGAACGTTTCAAGGAGCCTTGCTTTTAGGCCTGAGACCGACACTCACCTTTCTTGAAGATGCATGAATTCTTTGTCTCACAAGTTACCCAAGTTAAAGCGATCCTGCGGCCTGCGCTGTTTCGAATAGTTTGTCATGCGAGGAGAAGCTGCGTTCCTTCAATGCAACCAATACTTCCCGCCTGCAGTACCAGAAGCTTCGACGGAGTCACAAACACAGACAACACCTCACTTCAAATTATCTTCAGCTTTGCTGTGCTTGGTGAATCATGGTGAATCACTCTTGCAACTTTGCAGTCTCAAGGAAAGTTGCCTTGTTTCTGGCATGTTGACCCGTACCTATCTTCCAGATGGAAAGATGAAAAAAGCGATAGATGCCTCTTGCAAACTTTGGGATATAATTAGTGTAGGACATATCGCTATTCGGTTGGAGGCCATCGCCTTTTGGACACGAAGATCCGCCCGTCCGACACGCCCGTTCCTCACCGCCCCAGGCCTCGAAGTGACGAAAAGCTTGGATCGCACTAGGAGACGTCTCGGCAGAGAGATCGAGTCCTTTCGGGAAGGAAGAGCTGTTCTCTTGGTCCATTCTGGGGTGCATGCATCATCAAGTAACCGAATCCCTTTACAGGGGCATGCACAAAGGGCATTCAAGTGGATGGTTTCCATGTTTGTTGGGAGTGCAATACCTTCTTGCGGCGCAGGAAGAAGTCCTTGGCCTTGGAGGAGTGGTGTCGTTTGGGTCTCAGGCACAACACATTGGCAAAGGTTAGGGGCTGAGGAATTGAAAGATGCCACTCAGGGGAGTTGTAGCTCCCAATCCTGCCATCCAGCCTGGAAAACAAACTCAGTTTGGCGTGATGCGCAACAGTGGGCATGTCGACAAGCTATTATATAATCAGAAACAATGTCTACAGGATGCATGTTGATATGTTACGTTAACATAGCAGAGGATGTGTGTTAATGGATGGTTTGATGCTCCTTTCTATTCTCATTCTTCTAACCTTGTGAGCTGTGTGGGGATCGATGTTGCTTTGACACATGGCCACCAAAAGGGATCGATAGTTGTGACGATTTGTGCATTTTTGCTTATGTTTGCATGATCAAAGGTGCAATCATGTGCATTTGCTTGGTGGGTGGAGACATTATGATTTGGTATCGTTATCGGCAAGCCAACATCTATCAACATCTGCTTGATTCTTGTTTGTTCACTTACCCCAGGTGCCGTGGCGGAAGTCTTGACCTTGCGCTACAGCGAAGCCGCTCTGGCCGGCCCTGGGAGAGGAGACGAAAGGAAGGGAGCATTCCCAGTTTTTCTGGGGGATTCTGTGCGATTTAAATTTCAACCTGAAAGCTAGGGGAGTGCTTGAACCAGAAGGAAACAAACAGTTCTCAGGTTCTGTATTGTTGTCAAAGAAGCGCGGTGTCTTTTCTGCATGTGCAGGCTGAAGCAGCCAGCAAGCGTGCTTCAGGCAACGACTATTTGATCACCAGTCCAATGAGTGAACATAACTCAAACATACTCAAACCTTTTTTGATGCCATGCCGGACAAACTTTTGTTCAGTAGCGCGCGTCTTGATCATGCTGTACAGTATGAATGTGGAAAACAGATCACTAGTCACAGATCAGATTCCGAAGACTCGTTTTTGCGTGGCGTAGCAGCGTAGCGCTCTGTCAAGCAAAGCTGTTGCAAATCGCCTTCGACACGTTTGCAAAGCTGTTGCTTTTGTTAAACGCGCAGGTGCTGTGAGCAATGTGTCGGGACCTGAGATGATAAGCTTTCATGAGAGTGCATGGATGCTGCAAATTCAGGCAGCGAGCAGATGAGGCCTGCTTGAAGGATGCTGAACAAAAAAGGGAGTTGCAAAATAAGCTATCGTAGTAGTGTAGATGAATGTAGATGAACATAAGCTATCTCATGGCTCATTTACGAACGAGGAACGAACTTTGCCGAAAGAAACGTGTTTGAAACTGACCAGTGAGACCGTTTTGGCAGGCAAAGGTACCCTCTCGGCCGGTCTGGAGACCTAGTCCAAAAGAGACAAACGCCGCAGACATCAAGCCATCAGCGCTGGAGTTGCTGGCGGTTTCAAGCGATTCCATGCGATCGCAGTGGTCAGTCCAACATTGCGGGCACTAGGATGCACTAGGTGGACCAAGCTAAATTTCAGCTATGCAGATGAGATGTCAGATACATCATGATACATCTATTATGGAACATAGTTGCAAAAAAGGTGCTTCCTTTTGGCATGCCTTTTCTTTCTCGAAAGCCTCTTTCGGCACATCCAAGAGGCGCTTGGGGACCTTGTGGTGACCCCCGACATTTACTCCATGACACCCAATGAGCCCGGGGCCAAGGGTTTTGCGATGAAGCCGGCGAAACAACGCCGCAGGTCATAACAGGTTTAAACAGACCGTGATTTACTCGGTTTGACACGATGTTTCCAAGCCTTTCAGTTAGCATGTGGCAGGTTGTAGGCATATGAAGGTTCTACTGTAGCATGTTTCAAAGCCGGCACCGCACCGCTCAGTGTGGCATGTTCGAGGCTGCGGCAGGTCCGAGATCTCACCGTGCATCGGCCCAAGGTGGGCGAGGCGGGTGGCCCGTTCGTGGGCGTACCGCAACAAGCGCACCAAGCGACCAAATCGAAGGTCATTACGTTGATGGTCGTTGATTTCATGGTACGTTGCAAAATGGAATTTTCCTGCAAAGAGCGATTGCTCATCGATGCTTTCTGGACCATTCTCACAGAACGGATGAGAATTGAATCTAGAAGTGATCAGGAGTCCCAGTGTGCTTACATCACTGCTCTAATTTCTTGCCATCGTTGACATCAGCTTTCGTTGATTCGTTGGCTGTGTCAGGTCACATTTCACGGTGAAATTGACTTGCTGAGCAACCGTTCCATCCTTGAGGCAAGCGCAAAGAAGCGAAACGAGCGCACGGTTGGCACGTCGACCGAAAGAGACCGAAGGATACCGCAGCTTCGGGTGAAGTCGAAACGGCCAGGAGCTCCCAAAAGTGGTGCGCCTGGAGCCCGGCGAGGCACGGTTTTTTCGCAACAAACAAAAGGCCATGACTCGTCCGCGCCATTGGCTCGCCGCATCTAAAGACTTTCAACATCACAAAATCTCACTGGGATTCTCCGATCTTTGATCTTTAATGGAATTTTGTATCCAAAGATCTTCAAAATCATTAAACAGGAGAGGACAAGCATCAATAAACAACAAGAAACATCTTCCCCCAAATTATCTTTTCCCCCAAAAGGACATGATTCTGGGTGCGTTTATTAATCAGAGGACCACATGAACATGGCCGACACAAATGCGATGTCGGCCAGTGCCACGCAGTGCCACGCAGTGATTGGATGCATCCGATGTCATAGGAAGACTCGAAGGAGTATGACCTCATTCACAACTGTTGGGCCAAAAGATAGGGTTAGGAACCCCTCTGATGAAAATGCATGTGCCAGCTTCGCCCGAGGTTGTCTTGTACCCTGACAGCCAAAATAAGCCAAACTCTCAGAGTATCAGAATTTTGCATATTTTTGCGTTGCAACGCCTCGTCTTGTGCTTCTGTGCACCCAGAAGCTTGATAGCTGGTCTCCCAGCAGACCAGCGTTTTCATTCGTTTTCCTTCAGGCCTTCTGAGGGTGAAGGGCTTAATAGGTGCGCGCTTCGCTTTCCCGAGCCAGCGTTCGCAGCATGGCATGGACTGAACTCTCCTTGTAGGCCGGCGACGATTACGCTCTTTGGTTGCTTGCCTCCACAAGCAGCTGACTTCACTGACGAGGAAAGCAAAGCCAGGCGTGAGGCGGTAGGACTAGTTGCCGTGTTGGACAGAAGGCTTTAGCGCCGCAGAGAGAGAGAGAGAGAGAAAGGCCACTATATACATGTTGGAGACAGTGAGAGGGAGAGTGATGGAGAGGGAGAGCGTGTTAGAGAGAGAGAGAGAGTGCGAGAGAGGAGAGGGAGAGAGAGAGAGAGAGAGAGTGCAACCCATGAACACCTTGATTAATCAAACCTCAAGACCTTTGGCGGTTGATGATGCTCACTTGTGATATCTTGTGATAGCCCAAACAGTGCCTCTCTTGAATCTGAGACATAGTCTGTTTTCGTTGTGCTGTCCAATGCTAGTTGTGTGTTGTCCAAGTTTAGAAAAGTTGAGAAGAAGTCTATCTAAACACATCAAACATATATCCTTTTTCACCTCGGCTCTTCACCAACTCACCAGTTGTACTCCAAACTTTTGATGGTCACCACAGACAAGAGACACTTGCAAGGCCATCATGGTTCCCTTTAGGCCATGCAGCCATGCGGAAGAGCCAACAAATTGTTGGATTCCATGACATCCACAAGTCTTTGTGCATGTGCAGAAGGACCCAGAGAACCAGGGAAAATATTGTATTTCTTAACAGACTTGCCCATCCTTTTTGTGCTTAGAATATCTTACAATCACGTCAAAAGAACAGAAGCGATCACAGCTGCAGCCAACCTGCGAACAAAAAGACAATAACTCCACATTCTTTAGACCTAGAGTTCACATGATGAACCCATTCTGACTGTGTGTTTTTTTCTTTTTATGGTCGGAGATCCGGTCGTGTGTCGGTCTCGTTCCAGGTACCGGCATCGCATTGCAGAAATGACGGAGTCCAAGGGGGCCCATTTTCTGGACTACGACTGTGACAAGGGCTTGTGGCAGTTCTGCACCTTCGATGCAGGTACCGGCCGTCCGCAGGTCCCGGCAGTGCTTGCAGAGGTTCGATGGCACACGTGGTGCCCCCTTCGTTTGGTGGTTTATACGGGGATGGGTCAAAAGACCTGGAGCTTCAATCCGTGGGCCCGGCTGACCTGGCTGGTAGGTCAACCGGTCGGTCTCCTGGTTTTGGTCCACAGCCATATAAATCCCCATTTGTCTAAGACATCTTGGGGTGCCTGTGTCATCTACTCTGAAAGCACTGTAGATTCGATGTAGGAGCGGGCGGCTCTTTCAGAAGGGCCTGAGACGACCAAAAGCCGCGTGCTGATCTCCACCAAGGTGTAGATCACTTCTAGTGAGAGGATGAGGCTGATGAGGCTATGCTAATGCAAATGACTTGACTTTGTACCGCCAACCAGAATCTCTCAAGCCATAAGATTTGGTTTGTAGAGTGATGGTGTTGCATCCGCATGAAAAGAGGCGGATCGGGGTGTGCCGCACACGGCATGGGATCGGTTCCGCGCATCGCATTTGACTCTCAACGGCACGGCTGTCCCGGTGTGTAAGAGGAGATGCTGAGGAGATGCTGTCTTGGGAGCGTGAAAGTTAAACTGTGCCGAACTATTTAGCCTGGAAGAATTTGCACCACCGACACCACAAGCGCACCCAAACAGGAACCATGATACGCGATGCTTTTTGCCAAGAACAAACAACTCCATTTTTCAATGCTCACTAGCAAGGGCATTAGCAAAGCAAAGATGCTTGAAGAGTTTGCCTTTGCGCTGCATGGCATCTTATGGAGGAAGAAGAATTTTAAGCAGCCTACGTGCAGAAATGCTTTGCGCAGTTAACCAGACAGGTCGCACATTTAATAAATTCCGCCACCGGGACTCGAACCCGGGTCGCTCGGGTGAGAGCTTGACGTGTGTGGACAGAGACATTGCTTAGAAAGCACCGTTTCTTGCAACATCGCCAGGCTTCACATGGTTTCACAGGTTGTTTGCCGTGCCGTTAGCCTTTTGCTCAAATCATTTTTGTGCCCAGAAGGTTCCAGATCCGTTTCTCGCCATGTCCTTGACTCACGGCGGCCTTCCTAGCCTGCTGCCCGCCAATGTGCTAGCGGAGCTCAAGCAGACTGCAGAGAAACTTTGCGCACCAGGTGCTGCACCGGAGAATTGTGTGAATCATACTTGGACATCTTGGACCTTCCAAATCTTTGTGCACAGTTTCTGAAATGTGCTTCAAGAAAGCCAACAACTATAGAAAGACATGGCCGCAACCAAACAAGACAAAAACAAACACATATTCCAGGAAACTCCTATTGCAATATCCCTATGAAAGGTCTTAGTAGATTCTACCAAACCTAGTTTGCCATATTTAAAAGCTCCCCCCTTTCCCTAACCCGCACCCCTGGAACGGGGGAACCCACCCTCTCGGCCCCTCGCTGACTACAGACAGCGGTCCACTCGCTGCAATCAACCCGGACGTTCCTGTACCTGGACAACTCCTGTACCTTTGCCTTACCCTACTCTTGCCTATTTAACGTACAAAACTAAATTAATGCTGCTTCACCCTTGCTTTTCAAAGATGGGAAGAGTACAATAGAATGGGGTAGAGTAGCGCATAGAGCCAGGAAACGCACCGTAGACCAGGCTTCTACTTTATTTTGCATTGATTTGCATTACCCTACCCTGTGCCCACTCTGCTGTTGGTATTCCACTTGCTCCACATTTATATTTATTTGCTGTAATCTGACAGTGAAGTTTTTAGAATAGAGCAGAGCAGCACAGGAGTTGGAACGAGTTGAGCTTGCAAGCTGAATGGATAGGTGTGGGCTTGTAGGCAAGGGGTAGAAAGCTAGAAGACACACCTCAATATAACTAGCACGCAAACTGTTTTCGGAACTCCTTTCCTATACACCCCAAAGCTTTGCAAACAAATGCACATCCTGGTTTTATATTCTTATCTCATTATCGATTGCCCATTGCCCTAGCATTTGTGACATGTGTTTCCCTCTGTCTCTTCTTCTTTCTTTGTAGAGCTTTCAACTACTAGCTTTAATGTTTGACATCCTTCTTTTGCTTTCCTTTCTGAATATATACTCGCAGTATAATCTTTATGGCAAGATTGCTATAAGCACGGGCCCGCTGGGCCAGCACGGCTGTGTTGAGAGAGGCAAAGGCTTTTTAGCCTCTGATGAGAGTGCCGGGCCCTGGCTGCGCGCGGGTCATGCCGAGGCTGCGAAGATCCCAGATGCTTGGCCAAAGAGCGGTGTTAGACTCATGGGAGTGTGGGCCGTGCTAGCACACAAGATGGAAAGGAGCTACAGTACTTCAAACTCTGTTAGATCTGATAATTGCACTACTACAAGTACCTGCTGTTAAGTCGTCTGGTCTTGTAGAAGGTCGTTTGGATGCTGCGTTTACAATGGGGTTAGATGCAAGATGGCAATATAACTGGAAGAGTGTCAGGTCTCAGGTCAACAACATTGTTTGGATGCTGCGTTTACATGCGGTTTGGGTGCAAGATGTCAATATGATTGGAATATAAGCTTTGGGGTAGGTGGATACCTCGACTCGCGTGGCACTCGCGTCAGGTTCAAAAAGATTCGCACGGCACTCGCGCCAATGAAGCCATGTTTAAAGTTAATTTCATGTGCTTAAATCAATCTAGATAGACCGCTGACTGTTTGAATCTAGATAGACCCGGGTGACTAAACCCCGGCGCTTGTAGTACAATGAGTGAAGTAGGAGGCAGTGGGCAGCGGCAAGTCTGGGAACTTTGCAAATGTGTTCTGGTTAAGGATGTGATCGAGAACAGGGCAGCCTACCGAGCCCTATGCTTCTCCTCACCAGGCTTGAGTGAACACATTAGCGGGGTGATTCTCCACTGGGAGACCTTGATGCAAGATGATGCAGACGGCAAGGCCATGGTGGATATCATCAAAGGGAACGGCATGATTCCCGGAATCAAGGTGGACAAAGGCTACAACAAGAAGGGCATGTGGGGAACACCAGTCGGTCCTCTTGGGCACCCGGAGGTGGCAACTGTGGGATTGGATGATCTTCAGCAAAGGTGCCAACAGGCTTATCAGAAGGGTGCCCGCTTTGCCAAGTGGCGCAACGTGCTGCAGCTGGACCCTGCGAAAGGGATGCCGACAGAGTTGGCAATCGCAGATACGGTGCACACCTTAGCCCGCTATGCCTCGATTTGCCAGAGCGAACGCTTGGTACCTATCGTGGAGCCTGAAATTGTTCCCAATGGCAACCCATTTGCTAATTGTATATCCAACTTTTGATTTTTTTGTATGTTCCGTTATTGTTGACATTCAATGTCCATTTCGTAGGCAACTGTGGCCGTGCCGATGACATCAGGCAAACACGACATCTATTACTGCGCCCAGATGACAGAGAAGGTTTTGGCAGCGCAATTCAAGGCATTGGCAGACCACCACATCTACTTGGAGGGTGCTGTCCTGAAGCCCAACATGGTCAAGAACGGCTTGGAGGGGCCCAAAGCTAGCGCCGAGACCATTGCAACCCTGACCTGCCAAACTTTGCTGCGCACAGTTCCTCCTTCCATGCCAGGCATTTTTTTCTTGTCCGGTGAGACAGCATTGAATGAAGACAACGAAGAAGAAGCAACCATCAATTTGAGCACCATGAACAGTCTTTTTGCCGGCAAGCTGCCTTGGCATTTGTCATTCTCTTATGGCAAAGCTTTGCAGAAGACCTGTATTGTCACCTGGCTGGGCAAGACTGAGAACAAGGAGGCCGCGCAAAAGGCCCTGAAGGCACGAGCCAACGCGAACTCTGACGCCGTTTTTGGCAAATACAAGCCAGGCAGCTGCGCTAGTGTCGGCACTGACGGCAATGTGATGCAGGCAGCGGGGCCTTACTGAGGCTTGTGATCCCTGTGAGGATTGAACGATAGTGAGGATGTGACTGACATGAATTGCACGTCAAGATAAGGTCGAAAATCACAAACGTCCAGAAAGTGGTGGCTTTGTTTTGTTGTTTACCAACTCAGAACAACTCAGAAAGACCGTCCTCACATGGACCCAGTGCCTTGGCTCTAACAGAGCTCGGTTTTGTTTTCGCCTGGTGTGATCTGGGTGTTTGGTCGGGCACTGTTGCTTGACCACACCTGAGATGCACCAGGAATTCATATTTGAGATCAGTAGATTTTCGTGCAGATCACTTGAGGGGTGCTATCCATTTTTTTGCTCGTGGCTTTGTGCCAAGATCCTCTTCCTGGAACGCACACACACCGTGAAGTATTGTGAAATCACGAAGCACATTGTTTCCACGCAATTAATTCAGAATAATCCAGATATGGGTACCCATATATTCAGATCGGAAAGGACGACCAAGTCCATCTCTTGACCCAAGGGAACACTGTTTCGGTCGGTGTCGAATGTCATTTCCAGCAGGAAGCAGAGATCTGTGAGCTGAATTCATGAGGTCTAACAATCTGATCTCAATGTTCCTCACGTTTGAGAGGTCATTGCTATTTCAAAAAGGCTTCACATGCCGCTGAACATGTTCTTGTCAAGCACGACATACCACTCTGAGAGCTTCAACTTGGGCCAACTTGCCTTCCACTCAAAACAAACCTAGCTCAGTTTGCCCAGCGGTCTTCAGCATGGCCGTGGCTGTTCCCCTCGCGAATGGCCGGACCGAGTTGTTCGTCGACGATGAACCTCGTTTGGGTCAGCGGCTGGTGAAGGACGTCACCGCAGCCGCCCAAGCAGCGATCAACGCAAAGGGGAGCTTTAGCTCCTCGGAAGAGAAGCGGTGAACCGAAGAGGAACTGAGAGTGTCACAGCGGCCATTCTGGTGGATTTTCAGGTCACAGAGTCACAGCCGCCTTTTTTTGTGTATCGCTACTAGTAGTAATGCCCTTGTTACTAGTAGCGATGCACTTGTTACTAGGTTCTTCTTGTGGGACCATGGGACCGCACTCTTCCAAAAGACTGAAGACTCGACGCTCAAAGACTTATGTTTGCAGGACGCACTTGACGAGACACTGTACCACCGACGAGACAGATTCAATCCTAGCAGCATTTCCAAGGAGTCTCACCTTTGCTTACTATCTTGTTTCTAGAACGCAATATACCTATTAAATCCTATTAATGCGTTATAATTATCCATTATAAATACAATTTTCGACATTTGCCTAGAGCCGGGCTCTTGTTCTGCACTATTTCTGAGACATGGTTTGACGCAACTCTGGTGGGGCAATCTCTTGGCTTGATTTGTCAATGTCACTCGTTTTCCACCGTCCAAGAATCTGGGGAGAGTGATTCTTCTAAACTAAACACCTCCCCAAAACAGGAGTTGGGTCTAGAGTCTAGAATTATGAAGGAACAAGAAGGAGACTTTGCTTCTGAATTGCTCGAGTTTGAACACGCCTGAAATCAAACAATTTGTTGAAACGATCATGTATGACTCTACCTGTGCCGCACCACAAAAAAAAACACATCGGCACAGACCCTTTTAATGGATCACGAATTGCCAAACACAAAGCGGAAAGCAACCTGTAATGTCCATGAACACCCATTTTCACAACCCACTTGTGACACCATGAGACCACGTGACATCACAGAACGACACTTTCACTACCCCACAGATCACCATGAGACCATCACGCTGACCGCCTTGCCAAACGCACGACCGCCTTTCGCTTCCCTGTGCTTCCAGCACTGCGGCCGCCATCAAAGCACAAGAAACATATGACAAGCGATGGCCTCCAACCTGCTAGCGATGGCCTCCAATCACATAGAAAAGACATTCACACATTGGGGTGGTGTACCTAATCTTTCTTGGAAATGTTTGATGCTTTCTCAACATCGTGTGCATTGATTGACATATTGCGTGAACATTGTCAACAAAATACACCTTGGAAGCAAGTACTCCAACAGCAAATCCCAGTGGCATTACATTCAGCACTTAATAGAACGCTACTAGTAGCTCCTGGCCTTACTACTAGTAGCAAAGACGCTACTAGTGACAATGCACCGTGGAACCCAAATCTCAACGGCACAGTGACGCAAAGTGCACACCGTGCCGTCAAGCACTGTGCCTATGAAGTCAAGGCAGTTGCGGTGGGTGCACATTCAAATATAATCCCAAACAACCCATCAATAACTATTTACCTAGGTTGACCCTGAAAACACCTCAAAAACCACACCAAACGTAGACAAATATTCCACATATATATATATATAGTTTGGGAACTATACACCTGTCTCGTTAAGGAATCGATCCAGGAGCAAGAAGCTACTAGGAGCAAAGGGCACCGCTACTAGAAGCTACTAGTAGCTCCTCGCCTTGCTGCTAAAAAGCAAGAAGCTGCTAGGAGCAAAGGGCAGTCTGAAATAGATTGTCTTAGAACATCTTGGACCTGCTTTTGACCGCTGCCAAGGCCTGTGTTTGGCATCCCCTGTGATCGCAGCGCTCAAAGACTTGTCGCCAGAGGCGGTGGATTGGAGCAAGACAAGCGTTTTCTTCACAGGAGAGCGGCCCGGACAGTGATTTAATCCGATTGACTCACGTCTTGGTTTGCGCATTGTCCTTTTGTTTCAAAAATGCAAATTGCAATTCTTGCCCCATCTGAGGAATTTGGGAGCCAACAAGTCTTACGCGGACGCCCAAGACGCCTTCTGCAGGAAGTGTGGCGTTCAGCCTCTCAGCCTTGACAAATGGTTCAAGAGCGGCCAAAAACTATTGACAGCCACGTTTGTTGACACAAGTTCCAATAGTGACAATAGTGTATAAGGGAGAACGAGAGAATGTCATCAATGTTTGATCTTTGTATATCTTTGTTAAACAGGAGAAAGCTTCCGCCAAGAGCTATAGCCTCGCTGGTTTCAATCTCAAACTTATTCTTGTACCACTATAGCTACTGTCAAGAGTTGTTGAAGTCACCAGATCAGCTCCCCCGTTCAGAGTTCGTTCGATGCTGGTCAGATCTTCTGTGTTTTGCATGAGTTTTCCTCACGCGCCGTGTATGACGCAGACCGTGCAGTTTCACGTGCAACACACTCCGTTCAAGAGCAATGTGCAGCATGAATCAGGAGAATAGAGATCAGAGAAGGGAATCTGCAGCATCAAGAATTGAAGCATATTGAAGCGAAAGCGTCGGAAAGTAATCATGCCGACTAGTCACCTTCCAGAGACAAGATTCCGGAGAAGCAAGCACTCACAGGGCCTTGCAACAACCTGGAGTGGTTTCAGGGCAAGCTACACGTAGTCGCACCTGCTGCATCCTACAAGAAAGAAGAGATGCTGTCAGGTTCACCTTACAAACTGTTTGGCCAAGATTCTCAAGGTGTTTGCTTGGATCTGGAGTGAGAGCCTTTTGAATGCGTATGCTTCCGCATATGCTTCCGCCATGTTTTGTCCTTTTACAAACATGTTTCTTTGGAGAGGAAACAGTCCGTGCGGTCCTTTCCCGCCGTTGACCCGTTGGAGTCTGTTTTGCTTGTCGCTGGTGCTCTGGAACAAACGACAAGCCCAATGCAGTATATAATGCACTCAACACACATAACATAACCGACATCTCCCTGTGTTGCTTTGTACCTCCTCATCCATACCGATGTAAATCTCGATATCCATGCGAGATCATGCAAAGCGTCTGCACATTTGAGCATTTGGATCATGTTTGTGAGTGCGGAAATCAATTCGTTTTTTCTTTCTGTCCTTCTTGTTCGCCATTCAAGGAGTATAAATCTCGTAGTGCTCCCACCCATGCGGTCGCCCCAGGAACATCTACTATCCGATTTTGCGACCGCTCTTCAGCACTGGCTCCGGACTCCCACCCTTCGCTGTGAAGGAGGCCGCTGCTGCCTACGAGGCCCTTCTGAGGAACCATCCATCCATCGACAATTCAGGCAAGATGCCATCTTTCGAGTCTCAACTCCGGTCAGAGCTTTTTGGGTTGCTTTTCGTTGTGCGACCCGGTTTGGCCTGTTGACCTGGTAATGGTAGTTCTTGAACTTCCCACACTCCAGACGTAAGCAACCTAGCCCATTCAATCGCACTTGGAGCTACAAGAATTTGTGGCTTGGCGAAAGGGGAAAGCCTACCGGTCCGGTAAACTGGCCGGTCCGGCGTTTAGGACCTCTTGCTGTTGGGTGCGGGAGAAGACGGCCACTGCGGCTCCCTTCATCCCGAGAGCGACCAGGTCAAAGCGGAGGGCACGGTGATCAGCATCTGCCTCTCAGCCCAGGAAAGTGAGCAAGTTTTGCCTCTCATGTCCACTTCGGTATCCACCCCAAACCGCCATGGCGCTACGGTGCGCCATTCCTCGGTTTGCTTTTTCTCCCCGGCTTGATTTGGAGGCCAGCCAGGCAAGAACCAGATCGCTGTCTCCATGGATGTGATGTGTGCTGCCAAGTGCCTTGGCACGCGGTTCCACGCAGAACGTGGCGTGCGGCTTTTCATGCTGCACAGGTCCAGGCCCGTACGATCGAATGCACAAGACTTGAGCACTTTCTGTAGTCTTGGTATGTCCCCTCTCACTTTCCTGAAAGAGAACACGATCTTTTGGTCTTTTTTGGACTTGAGATGACTTGAGTACACCTACTCTTTCGCACAAGAGCACATTCTTTCCACAAGAATCTAAGCAATTGTGTGTACGTGTTGTGCTTTCGAACCTGTGTCGGCCGCCCCAAGGAAGGCCATTGTGCTTGCCAGAGGTGCAAAGCAGAAAGACACCGTGCGCCGTGCTTTGTCGGGTGTCCACGGTCTCTATGATTGCCCGGTGGGCTTGGTCAAGGCCATTCTCCTTTTGGAAGAACTTGTTCATTTTCTTACACAGCATTGGATGGGTACAGGTTGGAAGATGTGTTTCCTTGAAGCCCCTTCTCGCACCAGGCCCAATCAACCAGTTGGTTGGTGGACAAAGCTGCGTTCGACAACTTTGATAGGACAGGGTGACAGGGCGGCCACATCGGCTTCAAGTGAGCTGAGTTCATTTTGTATAGCGTCCTTGCTCCTAGTAGTAAGGCCAGGAGCCCCTAGTAGCTTCCTGAGTTTTAGTGACAGGATTTATAAAGAGGTTGACTTGTGTTTTGCTTGCGCAAGCAAATTCCCTTGGGAGTCTGTTGGAGGGGATATCTTAGTATAGGATAGTATAGGCTTCTTGCGTAGACACCCTTTTCGCAATGTTGATTGCTTATGAACTTATGATCGCAGTGTCTTGGGACAGAGGCTCAGTTCAGAGGGAGAATGACCAGTACTGCAGCAACATCATCCAGACAGGCGGCAGCAGCAGCAGCAGCAGCAGCAGCAGCACTGCAACAGTAGGCGTGGGAGAAGGAGTTGAGTAGGAGTAGGTGTAGTAGTTAGCAGTACCAGTGCTAGTAGCAGCAATAGCAGCAGTGGTGGCAGTAGTAGTAGTACGGTAACGCGTTTTAAATATATGGTGGCCTGGCCAGAGCAATCGGCTCCGGAGGTAGTATAAAATACCTGTTCCCACCGTATATTTAAAGGGTCTGGCCGGGCCAGAGCAATCGGCTGGAGGTAGTATAAAGTACTTGTTCCCCCCATATATTTAAAATGTAATCCCTGTTGACATTTCTTTTTCGAAAAGGGAGAGCTTGAGGCCCTTACAGAGAGGCCATGTTGTAACGAGGCAGTTTTTGGCACCTACAGAACCCGATTTTTGTAGAGAAAAAACTTTATGCTTTCTGCCCAGCAACTAGGTCGATCTATGTTTCAAACACTCTCACAGGAAGTAGAACTCATCAAGGACTCTTACTACTTTCAGGGCTGCAGGTTGTATGGGGAGGTGCCACACCACCAAATCAACACCACCAGGGCCGCGTGGACCACCAAGACCAATTGCACCACCAAAACCACCACAACCACCAAGAGTAGACTCCACAATCACCAGGACCACCAAGATCGCCTGGACCACCGGACCCAAGGCCACCAGGACCACCAAGACCACCAAGAGCACGACCAACACCGCCTAGACCGCCACAATCACCACCAAGACCACCAAGACTACCACGACCACGGAGACCACCAAGACCGGACCACCAAGACCACCAAGGCCACCAGCAGTAGTAGTAGCCGTAGTAGTAGTAGCAGTAGTAGAAGTAGTAGTAGTAGTAGTAGTAGCAGGAGTAGTAGCAGTAGAAGTAGGAGTAGTAGTAGTAGTAGTAGAGCGGTGGTGGTGGTGGCGTTTTAGTTCCACATCGAGGACACCAGATAACATGCCCAGCGTGGGCGAATCAGATCCGATCCGATCCGAAAGGGAAACGCTGCATCGCGCATGCTCCACGTAGGCATGCTTGAAGAGCCAATACCTCACGTAAGCGCATGCTGTGGTGGCGTAGGCCTATGCGCCCATGTGTTTATAAGCTGGTCGGAGCTTGAAGCTTGACACAAAGGGAACCATGTTTCGATTCGATGTAAGTGTAATCGCGATGAAACTGAGTTTCTGATAAAAACTAGCATGGTGAATATATACTCAAGACCTGAAGTGAAAAAAGAAACCGAGGCGCCTTGAAAGCCGGATTCGTCCAGTCTCGAGTGACTCTCAAACGACCCCAGGATGAGGCTTCCCAAATACTTTACAATAACACATGCACAAGTCAGTTTGATGTGGTACTGGAAAAACACCACATAGATAACATATGATAACATGGCAATTTCCGTTTTCGTACGGTGCTTGGCCCAGCTTGAATGGGATGCATGTTGAATCGAGACATGCTCGTCGAAACATGGGTCGGGAAGTCCCAAAAAGGACGGCATGCTTTAGTGTCCAAACGGCATCAGAGAATCAAGCGTCCAAATTTGGTGCCTTTTTGTCCGGTCCGATGTTTTTGGAGCACCGCTATTGTGTTGAATTATGGTTTTTTACTGAACAATGTTTGCCAGAAGTTAGGCCATTTCAAGACCAAGGCTATGAACTCAAACAGCCCTTGACAATCGGTGACCTCGAAATACCTCGAAGCTGGATGACAGGACCTCCACACTGCATGGTGGACTCCCCAGTTTGCTGCCCTGTGATCGCCTGGCCGAGCTGAGGGAGACTGCCACCAAGCTTTGTGCGCCAGGCCGAAAGAAAGCGGTTTGTAGACTCTTGATTTCTTCTCCCTAGTAGTTTCTTGTTCCGTTCGTAGCGAAGGCCTCCAACCATCTCCAACCTAATAGCGATTGCCTCCACCTAGTAGCGTCCTTGTTGCATCTTGTTAGCCCCACCCATATTACATATGAAGAGGTTGTTCCATTCGATTGGAGGGTTTAACTAATCAAGAGTCGACATTTCTTTAAAAAGCGCTGAGCCGGGTATTTCTGAGAACTTCAAGCAGCATGGCCCCTGGCAAATGTGGCTACCGTTATAACTCTGTTGTCCAAGGTCTTGCTGAATGAATAGTAATGAAACAACATCTTAAAACCTGGCGCAAAAATAGTTGCGAAGAAACAGGAAATGTGACCGTCGACCAACAAATTACCGTCACACACGAAATGCTGCGCCATTTCACCGCGAAAGGCAAAATGAAATGAGCCAAGGCCCAATGTGGAGGTGAAGTGTTGCTTTTCAGGGAGCTCTTCAGAGCCCTAATTAGAGCAGTCCTGGTCTGTAGATTCCGGAAAGAGACCATTAACGGCAACAAACGCATCTTTGCGGCGAAGAATTACGTAGTTTCAACCGCTCTCCCCAAACCAGGCCTAAATTTCTTGCCGAAAGGAACCTCCAAGTAAGGTATGGTCACGTGATAAGACCTGCTCCTTGTTTTGGCGCGAGCCCGCTGTGTTTCCCATCTAGACAGAGCACCAGAGCACCAGAAGTGGTGTGTTGCGTACGGTTCTGCGGGCATTCGCGGTTTCGATCGGTCAGATGTTTTTTCCGAAGACGGAACGATCGGGGTCGAGGGGTCGCCAAAGCGGTGGCCATCGACAGGCAAGGGTTTCTTGGCGGCGGACGAGAGCGCTGGGCCTTGGCTACGTGCAGGGCATGCAGAAGCAGCCAAAATCCCAGAAGCTCACCTGCACTTGACTACTTCAATTCAATTGGTTAGGATGAACTCAAAAACCAATTAGTTTTCTATATGACATGAGTCTAAATGTGTTTCTTGCTGTGACCCCGGCTCTCTTTGCAGCCCAACGTGAGTCCTTTGGTTTTCTTTTCCATCGTTTTTCGCTCTTCCCTCCTCGACATTCCGTCGGATTTCGGAGCTCAGGATTTGATCGATAACCGGGCGGCCTACCGGGCCCTATGCTTCTCCACACCAGGCTTGAGTGAACACATCAGTGGGGTGATTCTCCACTGGGAGACTTTAATGCAAGAGGATGCAGATGGCAAGGCCATGGTGGATATCATCAGAGGGAACGGCATGATTCCCGGAATCAAGGTGGACAAAGGCTACAACAAGAAGGGCATGTGGGGAACACCAGTCGGTCCTCTTGGGCACCCGGAGGTGGCAACTGTGGGATTGGATGATCTTCAGCAAAGGTGTGCGCAAGCCTACAAGGACATCAACGCCTCAACGTGAGATAGACCTCAAGTGATCTATAGCATCCTTTCACACGCCTATGGGTACTGTTGCTGCAGGTGACCCCGTGTGCATTCTTCCAGGGATGCGAAATAGGTCACTTATGTCACTTTGACTCCTTAGCTACATTGAACATGGACGGCTCACGGAGCCCTTTACACCACTCCTTTGCAACCTAGGTCATCCTAGTCTGCGGTAACACCTTGCAGTGGACGTTTCTCTCTGTTTACGCCCTCCAGTCGACCCCTTCAGCCAATCGCGCAGGAAGGAGCGCGATTTGCCAAGTGGCGCAACGTCTTGCAGCTGGATCCAGAGAAAGGCGCAACGTGCTTTCTTTTTGCTAGAGCATGGTAAAGCCTTAATTAAGATGTGGTTGCCTTGCTTCAAGATGTTTTAAGCTTCAGATGTGATATGATTTGATTAGTGTCTGCCTTTTACCCAGGCTTGCCAACGGCTTTGGCCATCAAGGACACCGTCCACACCTTGGCGCGCTACGCCTCCATTTGCCAGAGCGAGGGCTTAGTGCCAATTGTGGAGCCAGAAGCCTGGAGAAGCGAACGAAGCATTCGGGATCTTCCGGTCTCACGAGGTAAGTTCGGTCAGTGAAAAGGGCATGTTTGAACTTGAAGCATTGGGCAGATCCGTTCTAGTTTTAAAGTTTATGATGGATTCCTGTACGTTGCAAGTCGATGGGTTTTCACAAAGCACCCAATGATCTAAATAGTGTTCCTGTTGGATAGGGCCGAGGCCCTTTCACATCCTTCGACAAAGGCTGGCAAAGGGAAACAGAGTTTCACTCCGCAAGCCTTCTGATAAGGAAATTGTTCCCAATGGTGACCATGACATCTACTATTGCGCAGAGGTGACAGAGAAGGTCTTGGCAGCGCAGTTCAGGGCATTGGCAGCTCACCACGTCTACTTGGAGGGTGCTGTCCTGAAGCCCAACATGGTCAAGAATGGCTTGGGGGGACCCAAAGCAAGTGCCGAGACCATTGCAACCCTGACCTGCCAAACTTTGCTGCGCACAGTTCCTCCTTCCATGCCAGGCATATTTTTCTTATCCGGTGAGACAGCATTGAATGAAGACAATGAAGAAGAAGCAACCATCAATTTGAGCACCATGAACAGTCTTTTTGCCGGCAAGCTGCCTTGGCATTTGTCATTCTCTTATGGCAAAGCTTTGCAGAAGACCTGTATTGTCACCTGGCTGGGCAAGACTGAGAACAAGGATGCCGCGCAAAAGGCCCTGAAGGCACGAGCCAACGCGAACTCTGACGCCGTTTTTGGCAAATACAAGCCAGGCAGCTGCGCTAGTGTTGGCACTGACGGCAATGTGATGCAGGCAGCAGGGCCTTACTGAAAATGCATCCGTGTTGTTTCTGTGCTTATGTTAAGGCTTCCGTGTGTTTCACCGCTGGGCGAATGGACCTTGCTGGTTGCCATGCATGAAATTGGCTTTTTGAAGGGTGTGCCTGAGAAGAACATCATGGCCTGCCTAAAGCCTTGAGGGGTTGATGCGTCCTACCAGATCAGGGTTGAGAGCGAAGCAGACCTTCGGTAGCCCTGTGAGACGCGGCTTTGAGGTTAGTTGGTTGTGTTGACTTCAGATTGATCTGATCAAACGCCCAGTCAAAACAAAAGGGAAGGACTTGTGAGTGACTTGAGCATTCTATTTGCCACGACATCCAATAGGAGGTGGTTCTTTCTTCAAGAAGATTCTTTCTGGATGGTTTATCCGAAGTCAGCAGTCGCCCGTGTCTTCAATGAAGTGTGATGTCCTTTACTGTATAGACATGTGTAGAATGGATAGATTGTAAAGGACCTTGACCTTGCTGAAAAAAGCAGTGCAGACTTGAGCTGCCTATTTTGCTTTAGTCCTGTAGGTCTACCGACTTTGGTATTTGTACGGCAATGAGTTGCACCCGAAGCCCTTTCCGGGCTTCTCGCAGGGGTTTCATCTATACCAACTGTCACGGAGAGGACTGTGCAGATATGTCAAATGTATTTGCCGTGTGCAGAATGTCAATGCGCCCCCCAAAGAGACCTGCATAGACCGGCTGTACCACATCAAACATCATCAAAGATGGAAGATTTTGGCGGATTCTGGTTGAGCGACTTTTCGATTTCAGAGCTCTGTTGGCTTAAGGGGACGCGGAGCGTGGGAAGGACCGAGCCCCTCGTTTGCGCTCGCACTGACGACTCGTCCCATGTGCAGCAGACGAGTCTTCAATCTCGGGTCCGAGCGGAAGTCCGGTGTTCATCTATTGAGTGCACAAGTCATGACCCCTTACAGCACGAGTCTCACAAGCATTTATTGGCCGCCAGTCGCCAGGTATTTTGTTCGACGCGCTTTTGCTTTCTTGCTGCAGTGAAAACCTTGCAGGCTTTCTTCGCAATCCATGTGGTCAGGTCTGTAGGGGTTCTCGGCATAGGTATCAAGAAGAAAATAAAAAGAGCATCAAAAAAAAAACAGGATCAACATAAAAAGAAAAAGCGAATCAAAAAAACATATTCCTTGATAGGCCTCTTGTGCTGCTCTCCTGGCCTTGTGGTCTGCGGGTCCTTTGGTAATGTGGTCCCTTGGTCCTTTGGTCCCTTGGTCCTTTGGTCCACTGGTCCTTTGGTCCCCTGGTCCCTTGGTCCTTTAGTCCACTGGTCCGCTAGTCCTCCGGTCTGCTGGTCCTCTGGTCCTGTGGTCCGCTGGTCCCCTGGTATCCTAGTCCTTCTGTCTCCTGGTCCGCTGGTCTTTTGCTCTCCTACGGCGCTCGTCTGTCGATCTCCTGGTCCCTGCTTGCGCAAATATATAGAGGCTTGATTGCTTTCTACTAGAGGCAGCTCCCTGGGAAGAAAGTAGGTACCCAACGATAAGGTAGCCGTCCAGTCATTGAGTAGCCCTACTCGAAAAATGGTTCACCAACCATCCTCAGTGGGCTAGAATATTACTTTTTTGATTACTTTTTTTTAAAATTGATCCCCGTTGAATAGTTTTTTTTGATTCTATTTTTATTTCTATTTTGATCCCTTACCCGGGGTTCTCGCCGTCCAGAGGGTCTGCGTCCAGTCAGGGCCAGGTCCCTCAAAAATGCTTCGTCCTGATCGCATTGGACCAAATCCATACCGCAGGACCTCAGCACCTCCGTCTGAAGAACATCCCAGTGTTTTGCTCGTGCAGACGCCAGCGTCGCGCGGTGCACCGGCCTCGTTGGGTCGAATCGTGCAGCGATGGACTGTGCTTCGGATCCAAACGCAGCCCATCACAGAGAACAAGTGGATCGTCAACAGTTCAACTGAGAAGTGTGTGCATGGTTTGCCCCCTTACAAGGGTGCAGATGGAACGGTTAGACTAGCCAGTATGTACATGCTGCTCATTGGAACTGTTGTGCCTTATGCCTTTGTGAATGTGTACAAGCAGAAGCTGAAGCAGGTGAACTTGGATATGGCCTGGTTTTGGCAAAGCGTTTGGCAGGTTGTACGGGATTTGATCTTCATCCCGGCATCCTGGAGACCTGGCCCTCACCCTCACCCAGCGGCAAGAACGAGGCTTCGCCGGCTTCGCCTTGAACTTGTCGGAATCGTGGACCTGCTTCATGAGAATCATTCCAACACCCCAAATCAAATTTTGTTCTGCAGAGCCAGCGTAGGCTTGGTTTCTTGCGTATCTCCTCTTCAATGTGCTTTTTAACCTCTGTCAGTATGATGCGGCTCATTAAGTGCATGTCAAGCATTTGGGCAGCGATTGGCGCAGTTTTGTGCGGCAAGCTGGGTGGCATTTTCAGCCAATTAAGATCTTTGATGGGAAGTCTGCGCAGATGATATTGATGGAGCAGGGGATGGCCTTGATTTTATCGTCTATAGCACTGTGGGTCTACAACGTAGAGGACGACAAGAGCCACGCTTGAGCTTCCAGGCAAGCAGACATTTCAGAGACATGTCCAATTCACTGTGCAACATGAATCTGATCTCACAATATCTTACGTAATTATACTACTGTATTAATACTATATTATGTATTACAATATTCAGTATTAACATCAATTATCGAAAGGCACAAATGCGCAAGGAGGTGCAGCCTTTTTCAGGTCAGGTGTCATTCCTTCTTCAAGAACATTGAGTGCATGACAACCACAGGGTCAAATCCTGTAAGATCACACTTCCACAGGTCGTTGCATTTCACACTTCGGTGTTAGCAGCCTGGGCCCTGGAATGTGAACAGTGGACAACGAGACGTAAATGACACCTGCCAAACCTGCCTTTCCAGTTGCGATGTATGACGGTGAGAAGAGAGGCTCAAAGCAGGAAGCTCACAGGCGAAGACGGCAAACAACAGGGTGAGGACCATGTGAAAGCGTCCCATTTCCATGATCAATGTGTGATTGATCCATTACGCTGCCACTTGAACATCAAACACACACACTAGGCACTTTTTCTATCTTCCTTTCGCAGCTCTCGAGCCGCTATGGATACGGTGTCAGAGGCCTTCAATCGGTTCGACAAGGATGGTTCAGGCTCCATCTCCCGCGACGAATTGGCCGAGGCCGCTCCATCGGGCGTGCGGCCATGTGGGGCCCGAGGGGTGGGTGGGTCGGAGCGGCGGTCGGAGCGGTTTCTTCGACCAACTGGGTGGGTCGACCGGGCTGCGTTCGTGGTGAATCTTCGGTTGAAAGATGTTGAAAGTCTTGGAGTCCATGTGGATAGGCCTGAAGTTTGCTATTGTAGAAGTGTCCATGGCGAAGAAGAAGACAACACGCTCGACATTTCACTCCTGAAAATGTGGTTGATAGTCATTTGGGCGGGCTGTTTTTGTTTTTGCAGAACATTAATGAACATGAGATCTATAGTCTTTTTTTTCCCTTCGTAGTGCTGTAGTGCTGACTTGTTGAGAGGGCATCCAAGGTTTTCGGCTGCCTCCACTCCAAGTGCGGTCAAGTTTGAACATCCATGTCTGCAAAATCATGGCCTCGTGAGAACTTCCGCGTCCGCAACCAACAGCTTCAGAAGCAAGTGCACACCATCGCTCACCATACACTACCCAGCATGCTTCCTTCAAGCCAATCCAAGACCTTCCCATTGCCATCACAGAGCCTCTTTGATGTTTCCTGTTCAGAGAGAATTAGAGCAAAGATGGTGCCACAGTGAGGGCTTTCTCGTCCGGAGAACCCAGTGTCTCCACGTATCAATTGGAACTGTCACTTTAGACATGTAGCTGCGCTTGGACTGCTTCAAGCTTAACCTATTCTCCCTTCATTGACTTCTCAAGAGATGGCCGCTCATTGTCCTCATTTAAGCAAGGGGGTAAGTTAAAGCTAAAAAGTTACCCTGTTCTTGAACCATCTAATTTGTATCCCGTTCAATTGCGTGTAGCTGTCAACTTTGTTATCATTATTTTTTTTAAACATGTTTCAGGTCTGGCAGGCTTGGGTGAACATGTATTCATTACTGCCATAGGTTTGAACCAACGAATGTTTTGGCTCAAGTGACTTGGCCAAAATAGCGTTTGTTCTCTCTTTTTGAGGGCGGAACCCTTGGAGAGACAGTTCTTTTTTTTTGTGCAGGGAGGGACCCTGTTTTCCCATGAGCGAGTTGGGAACAAGCCTTGCTGCCTACACCAGGTACCAGGTGATCCATGCCGCCGCGTGGATGGAGTTCAGCGCTCACCTTCAGGAGCTGGTTGCTGAGGGGCGTGAGCGGGAAGCTTTGCGCCTCTGGGCCTCCGTGGTGGAGTTGGTGCATCTGGGGTCTCCAGGGCAACCCCTCTCCATCGCTGGGTTCCCCCCCGGTTCGTCGGTTCGTATGTACCACCATTCCGTGTGCAAGGTGCACCGACCGTCGGGGCGGCTTCCAGTTCCCATGGGTGGGCGTATGGAACCGCCGCTGCTTGCTGGTTCAAGAGGGACTTGGGCCAGCGGTCGCGTGGCAGCGTTACCATGCCTCTGCGGCGCGCTTGGACCGCCTGGCGCTGCAGTGGATTGCCTTTGACCTGGGCCCGTTGGACATCTTGCCGGTCCACGTTGGTTTGGCCGTGGAGCGGCTGGACGACGGGGACGATGGCATCGACACCGAGGAGTTCTTCGAGCTGGTTCGGCTTTGGCAGCAGGGGAGGCGGCCATGGCGGGAACCATGGTCGTCCCTGGTTGGGACCCCAGGTATTCCCCGTGAAGTCGCGAATGCAGGCCGATCCATCCGTGCAATCCTGGGGGCCGTGGCCTATGACGTTGAGTACATCCCCCCCCTCTGCCTCCTTTGTCGCCTGCCCACGTTCGAGTCCTGTCGAGTCTGTCGATCGATCGTTTGTGAGAGCTGCAACTTCTGGTCACGGCAGTGCCCGTTGTGCATCGACAGTTCTGGCTCAGACTAGTGCGATAGTCCTTGCAGGGCTCATGGCTGACAGGGGGCGCTATGCGGTCGAGTCAGCGGGGAGCTCCAGGTGGGACCCGGAGACCTCGTCTGAAGTGGCCCAAGCCGCCCGCGTTCGCGAGTTCAGGGAGCAATACCACCTCTTGGACGACGCGGACTTCGCCTTTGCCTTTCGGTCAGCGGAAGAGGCCTTGTTGGCCGGGGGCCGGGGATTGGCCGATGCTTGGACCAAGGCCCGCTCCGAGCAGACTGAGGAGCTGATGCCGTTGGCGGCCTCTACAGTGGAAGCTGGCTCGAGTCGCGACAGGCCGGCGCATGCTCTTCACCTACCCGCTCCTCCAGTGCCTGTTCGGAAGGGAGTGACCCTTTCTCAACAAGCTTTCAGTGCTGACAGTGTGAACAGGCGAGTGGAAGCGCTAGCCAAGGTGTTTGAGGACGCCGGGATTCATCGCCCTTCCGTGGGGAACCTCTCAGATGCGATCCTAGCTGAGTGGAAACTGCAACTCACTCGATTGGCGCAGGTCAAAGTGACCAAATCGGAACCTCAGACAGTGGTGAACGCTGTGCGCACGTGGTCGGAATTGGTCAGCTTTATGCGTTCTCGAGATAGGACTACGATAGAGCATTTGGATTTGGCGTCATTCCTGGCCTCCGGCTCCAAAGGACCCAAGCGGGCATTGAACTCGCTTCGCTGGTTGAATAAACTGGGGCATTTGGGGTGGCAGTTGGATGCGATCGTGCTGGATCCACCTGCCTCACGGCGGGCAGCTGCGCGATCCCAGGCTCTCGTTGTCGAGCCGCCCATGCTCACCCACTTGGAGCGTGGCATCAAGGAAGCCTTCACCCGACAGGACCCTCGCTGGACTGCGATGCTGGGAAGTTGGATCGTTGGCGTAGGGGTACTACGCTACCGGCATGTCCAACGCGCTCAGATGGTGCGATTGTCCCGCTCAACGATGTACTGCCATTGCCCCAAAGGGAAGCAGGCGAGCAAACGTGATGGCTTTGACTTCTCCATCCCTTCGCAGTTCACAGATGGCTGGCCCTGGGCAGAGCATGTGGTGGCCCTTCGGAACCAGTTGCCCGAGGCCCAACGAGATGAAGGCGGCCTCTGCTTCAATCGGGAGGGCCGCGCGTGGGACATCTCTGAGGTGCAAGCCGCAGGTCGTGAGCTGTTCCAGGACCTTGTGACCGACGTGGCCGACCTCTCCACCTACTCGTGGCGCCGGCTCATGCCCACGGTGGCGTTGCTGGCCAAGTACACCCCGGTTGAGATGGTGGCCTTGGCGGATTGGCAATCCAAGAGTGAGCTACCTCAGGAGGCCGCCATGCCGACACACTACGCAGGCAGCCGTGATCTCGTTAGCATGAGGCTCAAACATCTGTCGCTGGGACTTGTCGCCAGGTTGGGCGAATTTGATGCCTGGGAACTGGCAACTCCAGCCGCCATCACTGCCGCAGTGGACGCGGCCAAGCCCGAGGTGCAGCGGGCAGTGAGCCTCGACAAGCACAGCTTGTGGGACAAGCCGATGTCGGTGGCAGCAGCGCAGCGCGCGTTCGCTTTCTCGCGAGAGCGTGCAGCGCTCACAAGAGCGGCGCAGGCCAGTTCCAAGCGCTCCGAAGCTGTGATGCCCCCTTCCATCAATGGCAAGGTGGTCACCCGTTTCCTGAGGAACGGCAAGGCGCTATGCCCCAACTTTCAGTTGGACGCCTGCCACGTGGGCGAGGGGACCTGTGGTGAAGCCCACCTTTGTGCCATCGTGCTGAAGACTGGCCGTGCCTGCGGAGGGAAGCATCCAGCTCAGGCTTGCTTGGCAAAGCGCTATGTGGTGGCCGAGGATGTCGGGCACACCCCTCTGGCGAACGTCGCAGTGCCCAGCACCGCAGAGCCAGTCGCTCTCCCCGTGGCCGACGCCCCTGAGGCACCACATCGATCATCATCGCCAGAGAGTACCTCCAGTGAAGATGAGTCCTCAGCAGGCCCTCGCTCCCCGAGCGCGTCCCCGAGTCCAGTCCCGGCTCCCAAGACCAAGAAGCTGCGCACCGTGCCACCCCCGGACACTGAAGCAGTACCCTCTCCAGCGCAGCCCGTGGCGCCCAAGGCAATGCCGCCCTCGGTGGCAGCGACAGCGGCGGCGCCCAAAGCCTCGGAGGTCATTCCACCATGGCGAGCAGCAGCAGCCGAAGCAACGGAGGCTCCCAGCGACATCTTCGAGATGCCCGAGCCCCCGGCCGCGTTCACACCCAAATGTGCACGACCAGCGGTGGGACCGCTTGGCCACCGTGCGGGGGAAGAGCGCGCAGGCGCCGACCAAAGTGCTGTCCGTCCAAAGTGGCGGCGCGTTGTGGTTGGGTGGATTGCCTACGAACAGGTCAGCATCAGCCTTTCCATCCGTCACTCTTCAAGTGGCATGCATGCTTGAGGAGCCTTCGCAGCGGGGTGGCATTTGCTTGCAGGGAGCGACCCTGCGCAAGTTCGCTATCGCCCACCCTGATAGGCGAGACGAGCAATGGCGCGACCTGTTTCCGCTCCTGTGCAATACGTTGTGGGGAGGTGAGGATGTGCTCCTCCACCGCATTAGTGGCCGGCATCGCGCGGCGGGTACCGCGTGTATGATCCGAGCCATTCTGCTCCGGGAGCGCTTTGAAGCAGCTTGGGACTACTTGGCAAGTGTGAGGGATGTCGACATCCAAGGCTTGCTGAGAGACAGGGCCTTGGCTGGTTGGATCCATGAGACCCTTCGCACATCTAGTCTGGGCAATGCCTGGCCCCGGCCAACCGGATACATCGCGACCGCCCGCAGTCAGCTGCGCATCCAGGGCTATGAGGACACTCCCCTCTGCTCACATCGCCAGAGCGGCCAGAAGAGCAAAGGGCGTTTGGCAAACCCGTCGAAGTGTACCTCGAAGATGGAGGCGATTGCCTGGGGCAGGCCAACATGCCAAGTTTGTGCCAATAGAGCACCAGCCTCCTGGATCCCTTGAGGAGGCTGTGGCACCTGTTTTCATCTTGTCGCACAGCGACACATAAGAGCAGCTAGCCCCCCTTTTGGCGATGGAGTGATCCGTTGCCCGTGGCGAGCTTGACCAAGACAGCGTGAAAACAGAGTGCAGTCTCCTGACAGGGGCATTCGGCGAGGGGGGAGTTTCGCCTAGGCGGGTAGGATCTAGGTGCAGGGAGAATTGACCGAGCCGCAGAAGCATGTCCATGAGGACGTCGTTCGGTCTGTCCCTATGTCTTCCTTCCCCCCCCCGTCTCCGGACTCGTCACGGCCGTAGTCATTGTGCAGGAGGAGAGGGACTCCTCCGAGCGGGCAGCTTTGGCTTAGGCGCGTGGGAAGGGATCCCCGAGACAGCATGGCTAGTTCTTTGAGCTTAGTGCCGAGGGAGTCTTCAAGGATTGAAGATTCTCTGAAGGCGCTAGGCACGAACTTCAGCCTTGACCCTGTTGTTGTGGAAGCCTTGATCAAGACCGGTATCTCTAATTTTGAAGAATTTCGATTTTTCTTTGACAGTGAGGGCGCGGTTGAGCCATGGCTCTCAAAGCTGTCGCTTGGGGATGGCAAGATGCTTCAGGTGTCCCGCTTGCGGCGGGCATGGCACGCCATCACCCTCTATTTCAGGCAAATGGAGCAAGATCGCTCCAAGGTGGCCTCCGATGACCTCGATTCCATGCTTGGAGAGACCGAGCTGAGGGACACCAAGGTCAGCTTCTGGCGGAGGTACCGCCAACGATTTCCCCCGGAAGTGCATCCGTCCGACTCCACCCTCTCGAGGGTGAGCCTGTGACTTTGTCCTCCAGGAGATCCAGGAATTGGCCGATCGTGGTGGAGTGTCGCTGCGGGAGAATCCGGCGAGGAGCCTCCATTGGGAACTGCCCCGTGAGAAGCAGATGTTGGCGTCCGGCGATTGGCAGGACACCTGCTATGCAGCATGCTGCTTCATGGGGGCGCGGTGCAAGCAGCAGAGACTCAGGCACAACATCCAGGAGATCTCCCAGTGGCCGCCACTCCAATGCCATCATCAGCACGACCCAGATGAGTGGAAGCCCTACACCTTGGATGGGCAGCGAGTCTTCCCTAGCCATGAGGAAGCTGAGTACACAGCCCCGCTGGCCTTCGCCATTGCGGTGTCCACTAGTTGGTGGGCAGTACGTGTTGGTCGAGCCAAGTTGCGCGTCCCTCGGATGCCGCCGACTGAGGCTGTGGGCCGCCGGGAGCACTGGCTTCACTATGACCCCCGCTCTATGCGCAGCTGGGCTATGACTCCTTTGGCGATCCAGCTGGGCCTGCGACCAATCGACCCGCGCGAGCGTGCACGGGTGCCTCGCGTGCGCCGAGCAGTCGACCTCTTGGTGGATGGCCACCTTCCCGCCAAGTGCATCTACGTAGGGCGAGGGCATCACAGCCACAAGTTGCCCCTGTCGAAATGGTGCTCTCCGTACACCCCAGGACATGATTGTACCGCAGATGAATGGCTTCCTTGTTATGTTGAGTTCATCATGTCATCCAAGGCGGCGGAACTCCCAGAGCTGGCGGGCTGCACCTTAGCCTGTGATTGCTCACATGACAGTGACGTTTGCGAAGCCGATGCGCTGGCAGGGTTGGTTTTTGACGCCACAGCCCCGGAAGCACCTCGCTACCTGGCAGCGGCAGGCGGGCAAGCCCAGAGGCATCACTCGACAGCATCTCGAGCATTGCGGTTGGGGGTCATCTCCAGCCGCGGAGTGGCTGCGAGCATCCCAGCACGAGTGGGCCTATTCACCCAAGAAGGCGTTGTCACGTGCTTCCGCCGCCTCTTCCCAGGTACATGGTTCCAGGACTTCAAGTTCCCGATGATCGAAGACCTCCTGAATCAGGCACCGTTCTGCGAGTTTCCACGCTGGAGAGACCAGCACGATCTCAAGGCAGATGGGCCCCTGGGACCACATTTGGCTAGCGCAGCTTTGAGGCAGCGGCAACGTCATGCCGAGGGCCAGCAAGCCGGAGCTTTGAGCCATAAAGCCGCCCTACCTCCGCTTTTGAGTTTTGGGCTGGACCCGGACACCCACTTTCAGCGTGCTTGCCTTCGAAGCCAGGCACCCATCCCGACTGAGCAGTCGCCCCTTCTGGACGATGATCTATGGTTTGTGGCTGAACTCTATGCATCACGTTCCGAAGACCTACCACGACTCCGCGAGCAGAGCCTAGGCATCTTGAAGGAGCTGAAGCAGCGATGGAGGAGCGTGGGCGAGCACCTGCGGACTTTCCAAACATCAGCAATTCGGGCAGTCACCCGTTCCAGGGACATCGGACTAACAGCCCTCTTGGTGACCCTAACGTCCTGGGCGGATATCACGTACCCTTACGGCTTGGTAGCGGGACTGCCAGCTGTAGGTACGGCACCACCCTACGGGGTCTTTCCGGAGCAGCCAGGTCGTATCCTCACCATGGAGGACGTGCTCGACGACTGGGAAACCCACAATTACAAGACCCTCGCCTCGCTCAAACCCGGCAGACGTGATGCCGTGCTGCTGGAGCAATCGCTGAACGATGCCGCCCAAGGTTTCTGCTCTGCACCGTTGACCCAGGCGCAGCTCCTACGAGAACTACGAGGAGAACCATTCCGCCTCATCCCCCGATGTGTGATTGTCCAATCCTCGGGCAAAAAGCGGATCATTGATAATGGAGATACAGGAGGCCAGTCTGAGAGGTCTTCGGATTGGAACAAGTTGGTTTTATGCTCGCCGTTGCACCCTGCACAACATGTGGGGGCGGTCGCTTCACTGTTGACAGACAAACAGTGGCACACTCTTACGACTGCTGACGAGTGGCTGTCAGGAGGGGAAGATTGGCCGAACGCGTATCGGCATTCCCCTATCAGTCAGGCAGAGAGCCGCGGCTGTATCGTCTGCTTCTGGCATGCTGAGCGGGGGGAACCCGCCTTTCAGGTGTATTCATCCCTCCTCTTCGGCCTTCCGCTCGCGGTTACATCGTTCAATCGGTATTCCCGCCTCATTGAAGCACTGGGCCGACGGCTTACATACAGTCTGGTGTCGCTCTATTTCGATGATGCCCACATCACGGACCTCCAGTCAGGCTTCGGCTCCAGCCAACAAGCTTTCTGTCAGTTGAACACCCTCTTAGGTACCCCGTTTGCCGAGGAGAAGAAACAGTTGATGCAGCCTACCGGTACCTTTCTGGGCCTTGATCACGACTTTACGAACCTCAGTCGGGGCTTCGTGACGTTTTGGGCCCGAGATCGATTGATTCAGAAGACAGCTGCGATGATTACCGAGGCACAGGCACACAACAGCCTGTCCTCAGGCCAGGCATCCAAGCTCTACGGCATGCTCAATTTTCTCGAGCAGGGCATGTACGGAAGGTTGGGATGCGCAGGTTTGGCAGCCATTAAATTTAAAGCACGCCAGACAGAGCGCAACCGCGACCTCACTCCAGAGCTTCAGCGCAACTTCGATGTGATTCACTCCATCCTTCGCCATCGACCCTGTCGAGAACTTCCCGTGAGGCCGTCCGAATGTTTGCGGTTTGTTGTAGCTTCTGACGCAGCTTTGGAGGAACCCAAGCAGGGCACAGGAGGATTTTTAATCGTCTGGCACGATCCGGTGGGACCGGTTCGGGAAGCCTTCATCGCCCACATTTCTCCGGAAGTTTACCAGCTGTGGGAGCCTGGTGACAGGCAGATAGCCCAGTTGGAGATGGTGATGATCATTTATGCCCTCACATATCGGGCGCAGACCTTTCGAGGTCGTCGAGGCATCTGGCTGATCGACAACGTCGCTAGCCTCATGTGTCTGATCCGGGACCGTTCCCAGTCACCCGATCTGGAGCGCATGTGTGGTTTGATTCATATCATGCTGTACGCTTTGCGTACTTGGATGTATTGGGAATACATTCCGTCTAAGAGTAATTGGGCCGACGCAATTTCAAGACTAGGTTGGTCCGATCCGTGGTGGCGAACCAACGGATTCACCCCTTTTTCCGTCTCTTGCCCTCTCTGCCTTTGGCACCTTCCGCTGCCAGCAGTGATCCGAGTCGTAGAATTCCTCTAAGTGCGTTGGGAGGATTTGAAGTGCATTGGGAGTGGTTTCCGGAGTGACCGGAAGGATACCACAAGGGTCTGATT